GCATATCTCTACCAACTAGAGGCCTTTACTAAGGCCCTACCCCATCAGAAGCACAAGGAGTTCATTAAACATTTGAACCTTGTAGACATAAAGCATCTCCTATAGGAGTGCATACATACAACACAACCCCGTACGAAGCACTGGCTACCTTTGTACTATGGAAAGCAGCCCCCTAGACCAAAGAGTCTAGTCTTCTACTTCACTAACTGAAAAGTGAGGCAAGACAAGAATAGCTAATGGATGAGTTCCGTACGGAGGTAGAACTCTCAAAAGCACCAAAGCCGCCTACAGTTACACCTAGTTTTACTATGCGTTCTTATTTCAACTTTCCCAATGGAATATCTTGGGAAATAATAAACATACACTCATTTGGAAGACTACACAACTCCGTACGACATAGATGCAATATATGCATGGAGATTTCACATTCATTTTTCGAAATTCCAAACCCATTTCAACAAAGGGGGGAAGGCAGCAAGAGCAGGAGAAATCCCTGACTTTTACTATACAAAAACAGGAGAATCACCCATTTTCCCACACTCACAACTACGTACGGACCTGTCACATTAAAATTGCAGAGAAATCCACTGTCATTTAGGCCTCATTCACAACTGAGAGCACCAGAACCCGAGAGCACCAGAACACTGAGAGCACCAGAACACCGAGAGCACCAGAACACTGAGAGCACTAGAAGTGAGGCGTATGGAGATTACCCACGAAGCTGAGCAGCAGCTTCTTCATCAATAGCTTTCTGTCAGGCGAAGGCACGGGTGCCAGATCTTTTCCCAGCTTTGGGAGATGGCGGAGGTGGTGGCGTGGCAGGTCTCCAAGTTTTCTTGTGGCCTACTATGTGTTAGTGTCGTACGCAGCATAGGAATCAACAGAAAGGTACAAACTTACTCAAGGAACAAGCAGCTGACTTGTGCTTCATTGCACAGTTACCACAGGCTCCTTCCTGCAGCTCGCCATAGTGATGGCAGGCAGAGAAGAAGGGACGAGCCCGAGCACTGCCCCGATCGTGTACACACTGGTCACAGCCAGCATCCATGTCTCCTACAGCCTGGATGTACCAAGCCGTTGTCTGTTGTGGGTGGTCAGACTCCACCACACCAGCAACACCGTACGGACGGGCCAATTCCACGCCAACCACAATTGGGGGTAGGGATGGTATTTTGACCCTCTCATACTCCGGCAAGTCATCATGGAGGTCAGCCCTGATCTCAACCAGAGCCATGTCTTGAGGCTTGATTTCACCAATAACAGTCATTGTGAGTCACGTACGGAGCTGTGCGAGAGTGGAAAGTTGGTGCTTGGTAGTGGCGGGGGTGGGGGTAGAAAAAGGTTGTTGGCCCAGAACTCCAAATTCAGACCCATACGTATTTGCCTGCGAGCCTTCCTACTTAGTATGCAGTACTGGGATACATGGGGGGGTGTGTTGTAATATGTCACATGATCTCAGCACCACTTCCCCACAATTTCAGGCAGCAATAGATAGACAGGAATACACACGCATATTACTCAACATAATATCCATGATATCCAATGTTATCCATCACGTGAGGTTGCAGCTGTAAGCGCTAGCCATAGCACTAGCACTTTTCTAATGCTAAGGGAGCTTATTAAGCATGGAGAATGTTGTAGGAGACAACTAAGCCTGAAAATTCCTTGCAACCACTAGCGAAGAACAGAGAGGTGTAATGGTGGGTGCACCAGATGTGAGAATCTAGCCACCCAAGGAAGGGATGATTTTACTAAGACAACACACTGTCTTAGGAAACAGAGCCAAAGGGTCGTAGCTTAGACTATTCCACAACACAGCAATCAGGTGTATGATATAGTGGAGTGATTTAGACAAGTTGTAACAAATGTTGAGTCTGAGAACTCAGGGATAAGTCAGAGGTTAGCACCTCACTGACTTTTCAGAAACAAGGAGTAACAAGATCAATGCTTGGAAGCTTGGAAAAGACGTGGAAGTATTTGTTAGTCGATTTGCTGTATTGTCTGCTTGCCCTTTCTTAAGGAAAGCGCAATCCTATTTTGCTAAAGGAGTGATGTCATGTAATGAATCATAGAGGGTTGTAGAGATATGCTATGTGGTCATATCGGCCCAGTAACTAAGGAGCAATTGTAATGAATCATAAAGGGTTGTAGCAATCGTTGAGTAGTATTGCTCTTGTTGTTGGTGTGACAAGCCGAAATATGTATAGTGACTTGTAGGTTTGAGGAGGAGATTTCTAAGTTTGCTCTTGAGTTTGATAGCAAACTGAGTGCAACGAATGTCAGTATGACAATCTGGGATGTCGTATAAGGTCTCGTTAAGACGGTCAGCCCTATCTCTTTCTTCACCTTGTTGGTAGCGCATTTGTCGTTCTTCATGTGCGGCTTGTGATAAGTCTTGCTGTTGCTGTGACCGCTGAGGGTTAAACGGAGGATATTGTACCTTTGAATATGTCTCTTGGATATGTGTATTTGATCATAGTTCTTCTTCATCGCTGATATATTGTAACTCGATAGAATTGCACATCCGTTGTCGTTGTGCCTCATACTCTTCTTCTACTTGCTCCTCAGTCATATCAACGACGTCCATCATATCTGCAAGCTTGTCACGATGACATTGACGATTCTTGTATTGTCGAGAGTAATATACAAGCATAATACTCTTAATCGTCTCAGGATTAAGTTGGCCACGTCGGTGGCCACACACATCCCTTGCAGCACTAAAGACTCGCTCAACTCTAGACTCAGCAGCAGGAATACAAAGTATATCACGAGCCATTGCTGATAGACCAGGAAATTGCTCTTCCTTTTGTTGCCAAAATAGCAATATCTTTGTGTACACATGTGCTATACAAGTTAGAATAAGATTACTAGAAGATTACCAGAAACTTACGAGCATCAAGATAGAGATCAGCCTCATTCACATATTCCTCTCTCTGGCCCCGAGTCCCATTTAATGTCTGACTTTGCTGCAATACTAAGGCTAATGGATCCATATCTGCATCTCGTAATCCTAATTGACTCGCAACTCGCACTGTAGAGTATTGCTCTTTATAAAGAGTCTTAAACTGTTGTTCAAACTCTGTCTTCCAGTTTCGTTGAAAAGTCAAGCTTGCAAACCTTTTTGTTAAAGTGTGAGAGCTTCACACTAGGATTTAAGATACTAGCAAATGCGAAGATAGATCCAGTATTTGTGTATAGCTTGTTATAATACTTCTTGATCTTCTTCTCTGCAGCATCGATTGCTAAAGTCATCTTTGCTACCCATGGATATGCCTTATGCCATCGCCGGTGCCGAGTTCCTTCAAGTGTTGATAAGAGTTTTTGATATACTCTGAGTGTATAGCAGACAGTAGGTCCAGCTGACAATCCAATGTTGTTGTAAAGAAGTTGAATGGTCTGGTAAGATCAATGATGTATTCGATGTGCTTCTATTCTACCTCGCCAAGTCTAAACATATGAGCACCATGATCGCCTCGGGTATATTGATTGATTGTTAACTTGAGTTGCTGTGCTCGCAGAAGCATATGGCATGTCGAATCCCATCAATCGAAGAAGTCTCTGAGATGGTTGACCCCAGTTCATGTTTGCCTTTTGCAAAGTCATAAACCTGTTCCTTCGAGTATGACTTGAATTAACAAAGATAGTGAGCTTCCGGAGCTATGAGATATTAGAAAAAGCTACCAGAAGATTACCAGAACTAACAAGAGAATATATACCTTTCCAAGTGTAAATCCTATACCCTTGTCTTTTTGTAACGTTGCAAGGCCCTCCATCTGGTTCTCTTCTTCCCAGTTCATTAAGATCTCTTGATTTGTTGGCGTAATCCGGATTCGGCCAAGGAGAGCACTAAGGGCAAGTTGAATAACATGAGCTAGGCAGGGTATGTTATGTACCTTTCCTCCAATAAAATGCTCGTTGTCCGCAATACTATCAAGCATTATTTCCACATCTCTCATCATCGAAGTGTTGTTTGACGCATTATCAGTCGTAATGGATATAATTCGTCCTTCTAAATGCTGCCTTGTGATAACTTTTTCAAGTATTCCACATAACTCAGCACCAGTATGCTCTGTATATATAGGTTCAAAGCCAATCAAGACCTCTTGCATTTTCCAATGACGGTCGATAAATGATGCAATAACACCCATAAACGAAATTCGAGTAACACTTGACCAACAGTCGAGCGATAATGCAATCTTTGAACCAGGAACAACATCTTGTAGCATCTCTTCTTCGATTTGTGTGAGCTTTGTTGTTAAGAGGTTTCGAATAGTTGTTGCTGAGGGTAGTGGATAGTGAGGATTCTGTAAGATAGCAAGCCTTTTCCATTCAGTATCCTCGACTGAGCGGAACGAGCTATGAGTCGAGATAACTGTGTATAGAACTTGTTCATAAAATGTCTCTTGTGTGAGAATATGATCCTATTATAGATATTAACCTACATGATTCTGGTAATAATCTGGTAATCCTTACTTGTTGAGGTCGCATTTGATTGATTCGCATTTGATAGAGACTATCCTTACCCATCCGTGACTTTTGCAAATGTCCGATGCAAGATGTGTTGTCATAGACTTTGGGCCAGCAGACTTGATTGCAGGATGCGTAAGGGCCTTCCAACAATAAGTACAAATGACACATGGTTCTCCAGAAAGCCGGTCTGCTCCTTGGTGATAACTTCTCCAGTATTGAGAACTCCGGTTCGTTGAATCCCATGCAATCTTCGTAAGGAGTTTTGTAGTATGATCTGAGTGTTGTTCATACCATCGTGATAGCTTCCACCACTCAATGAATACATCGTGTGTATCCTTAGTCCATTTGATGAATTGGTTTAATTTGCCAATATATTCAAGGCCTGCAGGGACTTGATTTAACGAGGATAGTCGTTGAGAAGATGGAAAAGAGTCTGAGAATACATCTGCAATAGGATTGTCAGAATCAAACAACTCTGAGTATTGAGATGACATTTGGCAAATTGCTCGATTATCAGAAGGTTACCAGAAGTCTGGCTACAATGAAGTACTTAAATTTCTCTATAGCCCCTATTTGCGTTGGAAAACCAGGTACTCCGGCGCTATAACTTTAGCAAACTCAAGTTCTCCTCTACTCTAGCTCCAGGAACAACATATCCTGCGCAGCTGATACCTTAGCCCACTTTTTCTTATCAAACTTCTTAGAGTAGACAAGTAAGAATGCCTCTTTGAAGCTAGAACTATGGGTGGAGACTTGCAACCATCCATTGTCGACAAGATTGTAAGACTTTGGGTACCACTGCGCAGGTCCTGGTAATTGGGCCCACTTTCCAAACTTCCAAGCTGTAAAGTTTGTCCAAACTGCCTGCTCGTACAAACAGAAATATTTATGTGGTGGGATAACCTCATGAAAAGTGCTATAATAAACAATTAGTATTGCCAGAAGATTGCTAGGATGATTAGAGACGTACCCTTCCTCTACATCAATCCACAGCATATACTCAAAGAGACGCTCAGGCTTTTTTCTCAGCTTTCCAGTCTTTCTCGTATATGAGCAGATAAATCTATCCCAGAAATGTTGCCACTTGCGGAAATTGGACTCTTCATGGGCCTATCAACTATGAGTATTACCAGAAGATTACCAGACTATGAGGTAGCATACATCAATGCGCGCTTGAGTTAAGAGAGCCTGGATGCTAGCGATCTCTTCATCGGAAAGCTCATCTGGTAGTACAGCCTCGTGATTTAAAATATCGTCGCGCCGTAACATAAGCTCCAACTCCAAATCGTCTTCAACCTCAGTATCCTCCCATTCGCTGTTATGATCGTCATTGATTGGGATACTTGAGATACCCTCAAATGCAGCAAGCTCAGACAGAAGTTGTGGCGGAGTAGATGGTGGTGCTTGTGGAGAAGAAAAAGAGGCGCTAATATTCTTGACTTTCTGATTCGCAATGCAAGATGCATGGGTACCCTTCTCAGTCCTATTTATAGTTAGATTGAGGCTACCAGAGATTACCAGAAGGAACTTACCAAACACGAATACGCTCAACCTTCAATTCATTCTGTAGACCTGTCTTGTCTTCAGTAGAGGCAGCGATATACTTTGCAGACTTATATAACTTCTTTAAGTAGTAGCTCAGATCAGCATGGTCAGCCTTGAGTGCTAAGTGAACAGCTTTCTCATCTTCAGTAAGGTTGGAGATGCAGTTGCGAGTTTTGATAGTATTCACATTAGTGGAGAGTTCTTCAGGTGCCTTGCGTTTCGCCATACTAAACACATGATTAGCAGAAGATCGCCAGAAGTTCTGGCTATAGAATCAAGATAATAAACTTACTTGAAGTCCTAGTGAAGAGGTGAAGGCGCAAAAGGGAAGAAGAATGTGTAGATCGGAGAGTAACCAAGGAAGGTCGTTCTAAGGTCGTGGTTATTTTAAAGTTGCAAACAAAAATATTCGTGAAGGAATATTCACCTACAAAGAATTACTGTTCCAAAAGCAACACCACAACGCGCACCTTCATATAAAACATATACCTTTCAACCTCTATCTCTTTTCTATACTCTTCTTCTGCAATATTCTTCCTACAAACTCACTGTAAGTACACATATATTTTGATCTACTTCTTTGTCTTGTGTTTACTTCACTAACTCACCTTGATATTAGCAAATGGCTCATACCAAGCAAACTGCTAGATCAACTGGCGGCACAGCACCAAGGATGCCACTTGGATTACGGGTTGGCTCTGGGCTTGGTGGAAAGGGAAAGGAAAAGGCCGTTGGCACAGCAAGAAAAGCTCCAGTTCGCTCATCTCAAGCTAGCAAGAATCATGCTCAGAAGGCCACGCGCCGCGCAAAGTCTGGTAAGAGGATTGCCAGAGGATTACCAGAGGATTACCAGAACTCTCTAATAAACATATAGGCACCAAGGCTCTCCGCGATATCAGAAGACAGTAACTCGATACTAGCTTAATTATCCCAAAGCTCCCATTCCAGCATCTTGTTAGGGAAATTGCAGAAGACTTCAAGTCCAATCTTCGCTTCCAGCAATCTGCTATCCTAGCTCTTCAGGAAGCTGCTGAATGTTTCCTCATTCGAGAATTTGAGAGTATGATGTTTAAACATAGTGACAGGGACATACTAACAGTTATAGTGACAAACCTCATTGCTATTCATGCGAAGAGAGTGACAATTCAGGCAAAGGATATGATATGGGTTTGGCGTTTGCGGGATATGATGTTTAATCATGGAGCTGTGGGCTTAATTGATGGAAATGTGTCTCACCCAGGAATGAAGGTCAGATGAGTTCTGGCAACCTTCTGGTAACCTGGTACCTAAAGGCCAAAGGTTATAGTGTGGAATAGGACACCAACAATATGGGAATGGAGTTATGGAGTTATGGAGTTATGGCGTCTTGATCAATGAAGTCGCGCCCCGTTTTTAACATAAGTAATGGCTAATCAAACACGTGATGTAACTGAGTTGCCAAGACCCATACTAGGTACTCAGCAAGTGAGTAATCCTCATTCAACAATACTCGGGACATGAGTGAGTAACTCAGCTGGGTGAGTAAAAATTCTACTACTCGACTCGTGAGTACCCAGTGCGCAGCCTAGTCACCCCACATAACGTACTCCTGGATTTCGTGTCAATTGTTCAATACGACAATCCAAGTATACTTTGAATTACCCCGCAATTTTATCATGTAGCATCTGACTCCATAGTATAGTGTTTATCCAAAGTTGGCTGGAAGCGAATGTAAGCAACATCAGTATCCATGTTTCCATAAGATGTTGGCTTATCATATCTAGAGGATCCCGGTGATGGAGGAGGTGATGGAGAGGGGGGAGTCGTTGTTGTCAGGTGGTTTGAAACCACTCAGCATCTGTTGAATGTCACAAAGACGTTAGAATCCATCCAGCCAGGTGGCCAGCGATGGCTCGACTACGTGCGTGTGCGCCTTCTCCACGCCTCTGTTCGCAGCAGGATTCTCGGCATGGCCAAGACTAGGCCATCATACTACGATGTTGAAAGCTGTGGCATACCTATCAATAACCAGGAGACAATAGCCACGATTGCAACATATTCATCTCAGGCCCTCTGGCTTGCACTGCCGTCGCAGGGGATCTACTTGAAGCAACAGGAAATCGAAGACTACATCCAGCTATCGCGTCTTGTGGGTTACTTTCTGGGCACTCCAACTAATGTGTTCAAGACAGCAGTGACTTCCAAGGCCTATTTCGATAGTGTCCTGGAGGCAGATGTTAAACCGACTGAGATCAGCAAGGTCCTTGCGAACAACATCATCACTTCTTTGACAGACCAACCTCCGCACTACCCCTCGAAAGATTTTCTTCACGCCCAATCGCGCATGTACAATGGAGAAGAGCTCTGCGATGCCCTGGCCATCCCCAAAGCCTCTTACCTTGGCTATGTAAAGGCATATCTGCAGGTTGTTCTTCTCATGACCGTTGGGTACCTTTTCAGGTCCTTCTTATTCTTGGACAAGTGGAGAATTCGACACAACAGGAAAAGCTTTTGGGAGATGGTTATTACAGGTATTCACAGCCTTGGCCGTGAGACAAATTTCAAAATGCAGTATGTGCCCGATTTTGATGCGATTTCCAAGCTGGAGAAGGTGGGTAGCGGAGCGAGCGTCGTTACAATGGCCAATTATTAATCTTGCAGCAAATGCATACATTGCTCCGACTGCCCCCATTGGAATCACAACTGCTAGCATCGTTATGAAATTCTTTGTCGCGAAGACAGTATTGCTTTGTATTATATAGAATATGGCAATCCTCTAAAGCTATACTAATGTTAATATTAATAGTATAAATATAGGAGAGAGTACTAACAAGCTGAAAGGCTATGCATCATTGTCTCATTGTTTTCTGCATTATCCATCATAAAATACCCAACTTTGTTTGCAATACCAAACTCATCAATTACTTTTACAATAAGCTGTGATTGGTTTGTCCCTGTATGCTAACCTTCTGATTCTTATAGTGCTAGACTGACTGTTAAAGCTGACCATCTTTAGCAAAGTAATGTGCTATTATTCCAAGTAGAGTGAGGGAGTTTGTTGACGTCCATAAATCAACTGTGAAATGAACCTTTGAAATAGCCCCATGAACGGCTTGTTGTACTTGACATTTCTCTACATGAAAGGACTCCATAGTCTAGTTACACACAGTTTCATGATTAGCTAGAAGTGCACTCTTAGCTTCTAGGTTTAGAAACATAAGAAGCTCTTGGAATTCTAGCCTTTCTGACTTTGTAGAGGAAGAGAACAGCATGCAATCCATCGTATAAAGAGCTGTTGAAAAGTTGCAATATTCAAAAGACTTATGAACCTTACGATGCTTCGTGTAAAGCAAGGCCTCTTGACCTCATTCAAAAGCCTCTGCAATTGACATGGTTTGTGCAAGCAACTTAGTCTCTTCCTTTGGATCCGTAATAGAGTGATACTTTAACAAGTGCTTCTTTAGGCCTCTCGTTCCACCTGCCTCATGATACTCCTTCTTGCAAATTCCACAACGCCAAACAATCACTTGTTGACCATTGAAATATACTGTATTTGGATCACCTAGCATATGCAACTAGATAAAGGAAGTGCAAGAGCACTTCTGGTTTGGAGTAATGGAGCCGAGTTGTGATGATGAAGCTTGGTTTAATAACAGTATACTAGGAGATAGTAATTGCTCAGTTGAAGCCTATGACGACATTTTAGTGACTTATCAAATATAACAAAAATGCGCCTGTGAGCATCCAAAAGGCCTAGGGAAAAATTAATTTCAGCGCTAAAAGCTATGGTAATATATCATGTCTCATGGGGAACCTAGACCACCGGTTCCCCTAAACCAGACTGGACCATGGTCTGGTCTAGTCCCAAATTCTCAGACCGTGGTCTCCTACGGTCCCCCGCTACTGCCCCTCACCCTGCTTAATATCTTATAGGATATTAAGCAGGGTGAGGGGCAGTAGCCTCTTGTCATACTGACATTCGTTGCACTCAGTTTGCTATCAAACTCAAGAGCAAACTTAGAAATCTCCTCCTCAAACCTACAAGTCACTATACATATTTTGGCTTGTCACACTAGAGGCCTAGGAACATGAACGATAGCTCCAAAAGCTTCTACAACCGTCTATGATTCATTACACATCATCGCTCCTTAGTTACCCACAAGATTGGTTAAGTTATGACATAATTTGTCTATAGGGGTACTCTGACCTTGGACCTCCTTTTACTTCCTATAGGCTAGGAACCTAGGAGATGGTGCTATGGGATTCTCTTATGTCGACTACAGTTACCAAGCCTGGTTAGTCATGGAAAGTCATGGAAAATGAGAGAACTACACTCCTTTAGCATAAATAGGATTGCGCTTTCCTTAAGAAAGGCAAGCAGACAATACAGTAAATTGACTATCACATACTTCCACGTCTTTTCCAAGCTTCCAAGCATTGATCTTGTTACTCCTTGTTTCTGAAAAGTCAGTGAGGTGCTAACCTCTGACTTATCCCTGAGTTCTCAGACTCAACATTTGTTATAACTTGTCTAAACCACTCCACTATATCATACACCTGATTGCTGCGTTGTGGAATAGTCTAAGCTACGACCCTTTGGCTCTTTTTCCTAAGACAGTGTGTTGTCTTAGTAAAATCATCCCTTCCTTGGGTGGCTAGATTCTCACATCTGGTGCACCCACCATTACAATAGCATCCGTTTAGCCTCCGACTCGCACTCTCATATGCTATTACTGTGAGCTGGGTGCCCTGTGTCCTTACAACTCGAGCCCAAAAAACAGTACTCTACGTGAAGATCTCTGAGTAGTACTCTGAGTAGTACTCGGGCAACACTGTCTAGAAGAGGAATTTATAGCTAAATTAATACTCTAAGTAGCATTTAAATAGATTAATATATATTTGGTTTCATTTTCTACTAATACTAGATAATTACTTAGGCCACGTGATTCTAACATCATGTGATAATTATGAATATCCATGATTATCAAGAACTCATAATTATAATAATGAATAATCATGCTTATGTAATATTTGACTATTTGAATAGTCATGGTTATTATGATTATTTGTGCTAACCCTGTATGTGCTTCACCACGGCCGGTCGGGGGCGTGGCGACGTGATTATGATGCAGGGCGTTGTTGGTGCAGACCGGTGATGTGAGGGGGATGATATACGGTGAGGGAGTCAATCAATGCCATAGCCATCGCGCTCAAGTTACTGCAATCTACTGTCCGTCCGATGAATCCCATCCTCCATCCTCGGGGGGTACCTTTATTGAAACCCATCCTGCCGCCCACATTGAAACACCGATCTCCCCCCCCCATCCCAATCCGTTGCACGACAACGGGTGGGCGAGTCAGGGAGGAATACAGCGCTGCAGAGAGACGGAGGAGCCAACGGCCACGACATACATTGCTGCAGAGAGATGGCCGAGCCAACAGGCACGACATCCTCGCGGAATTCTTTACATGTCGTGTTTAAGGACGTGATTCGGTCGCCGATGCATTGGTAAAGGGGGGGGTCGCGAGTGTGACGGCCAGCCACGAGGAGCATGAGGATGAGGATTTGGCGTGCGTGGTAGAAGAGGTTATGTACGTACTGTAATTCTCGGTGAAAGATTGAGAGTGAGAATTGATAATTTAGATTGATCCAACACATTCGCCGTTTGCGTCAGGGGGAGTCCAACAGTTTTTGTTCATCTGGTAATTTTAGTGAGTCGTGGTGGTGTTGAGACAGGATGGGGACGAGTGAGGACGTGCCGCCGCGTCGAAGTGGGATTGAATGACAACCTCACGTAGTAAAACTCTCTCCTGGTTCTTCTTACTCGTACATATACTCCAGTTTCATCGCGTACCCAAAGGCCACGGATACTGGATTTCCGTGCATATCTATACCATCTATACCTCTTTCGCGCCGTGGTCGCGTTGATTGATTGAATTCGGTCCATCTGGTCCTCTATAACGCGTCGCTCCGTCGGCCGTAGGACCGCCTTGCACCACAGAAACACCGCCTAGCACCAAACGAGCACCTTCCCCACGCACCGAGCCACTCAGCGGCCGTGGAGTCTCCGACTCCTAAATGGCGCTGATGCACAGCCAGGTCTACTGGCTGAGACCACTTTACCTGTGAGTGTGAGGAGAATTACTCCCCTGCGTTCATCGGCCTTCATCGGTGGGTAAGCTGCCGCGAGTTCATTGGTAAGGACGCGTCGAACACGCTCACTCTCCAATCCCTCCAACACGATGAGCGAAAGAGGGCTAATTTCTTCCACCCAGACATCAGCCAGACCAGACACCAAGACGCTGTTTTGACCGTGAGGCAGAACCGACGCGAGACATACCCCCTCTTCTCTTCCTTCCTTGGTACGAAATGTGTGAGGGGCCGCAATAATAGGTGCCAATCCCCCCCCAACTCCTACGACTCTTGCTTCTTCTTTCTCCTCACTTCATCATTACACTCATTCTTCTTGTGTTGTGGTCGTGGATTGATATAACTCGGATTGTTTGTTGACGACAAGAAACAGCAAATAACACACATACAATCTCTTGTCCATCGAACTTGTTCGTCCTCGTCAATCAATCCTTCGTGATGGCTTCTACACTCTACCAACCCGCCGTCGGTGCTGTTCGCCAGCCCTTCGCTCCCCTCAACAGTTCGCGTCTGCAGACTCTCACGAGCCTCAAGAACCGCCAAAATGGTAATTCCCTCCTCCCCACGCCCACTCTGCCTTCACCGCGTCTAACACCCAAAAGCCCTCCCCCAATCCCTCGCCTCGTCCACAAAACGCAAGGCAAACTCCTACGACGATGACATCGACGCCGAGAACATCGACCCCACCCTCTCCACCAAACGCTCCAAAGGCAGCGAGTCCTCGATCTCCAAACCATCCGCCTTCATCCTCACCAAATTCCATCTCGAATACACCCCCGCCTCGCCCACCACACGCACAACCCTGACCCCCAAATCCCCGGCCCGCATCCACACCTCCTCCCCGCACCCCGCCCTCTCGACCCCAGCCGGGCGCTCGCCGACACGGAAACGCATCGGGCTTCTCAACCGCCGCAAGACTGGCTCCGCGGGGTTCACTCGCGTCGACCCGCCTAACTTCTCATCCTCGTCATCCTCGTCCCTCCCATTCTCCCTCGCCACAGCACTCAGCAGCACAACCCCCCTCTCACGCCCTACACTCCCGCCGCTGGCGAGACCATCTTACAAGCCGAGCTGGGAATTCGCGATCCACGAGGACACGCAGGAGGAGACGCTGACGAACCTCATGGAGCACAGCACATACACTCTGGATATCAGCAGTGACGAGGAGAGCGCGAAGCGTCCCCGCGATGAGGGGAGGGGGAAGGAGAACGTTCCCCCCACCGAAGATGAGGGAGTTGCGCCTCGTCCACAGCAGGTGTCCGCTCAGGGTGTTGAGGGGAAGACATGCCTTGGACGTCGTAAGAGAGAGGAGAGCGAGATTGAGGTCGATAGACAGGTGTTGGGGGAGGTCCCGATTGGGGATCTGTATGCGGAGGATGCGGCTGGGGAGGTTATCGTCCAAGCTGATGATCTGGTTGAGTTGGGGCCGTCGCCGTTGAGCGCACCGGAGTTTGAGTTCAGCTCTAGTGCTGTGGTGGAACGGAAGGTTGCAGAGGAGGAGGTGGATGTTGTCGCTGCTGCGGAGGAGCTTATGGCTGAGGTGCTGGCGCCTCAGTCGGCCGCGCTGCTGGAGCCTATTGAGAAGGCTGAGGAGGGGTGGTCGGTGTGGGAGAGTGGGAGTGTTGGGGGTGATGAGTAAAGGTGTCTGTCTGTTGCGGGTTGGGATAATACTGGCCTCCGTCCTTCGGAACTAGGATGGAGGGTGGGTGGTATATATTGTTTGGCGTTTTGTTGTTGGGGTTTGGGTATACCAAGGCGGGCGTTTTATGTTTTTGATTTTGATCTGGCTTTGATCTTGGGGATGCAATGTATGTTGCTGCTGCTTTTTGTTTTTGTGCTCGAAGATATGTTTGCTCTGCTTGACTTGCTGTACTTTGCCGTACTTTGCTGTCCTGGCTTTTTGTCTAATCTTCCTGGCATATAGCTTAAAATTGAAGTTGTTTTGAGGAGTTTGATCCTTGTCGAGTATTGAAATGGACGGACACTTCGCCCTAGAAAAAAGCACATGCACCTCCGTGAACTGCTCACCTGATAGGACAGCAAAACTCGTCGAAAAGCCCATAATAGAGCTGTATATACGTAAATTCTCGTCCGTCGCCTCTAATGCCTGCTCTTTTTAAACGCCATAAACTCCCCTCTCCCCCCACAAGCCCACACCCCCCCTACACCTCCTCCTTCTCCTTCCCCTTCCCAACACTCAACCCCTCAACCGCCTCCTTCAACCCCTCCATCCCCTCCGCCTCCCCCCCCATCTCCTCATCCCCCCCCCCCGCCGCCTCCCCAAGCTCCTCCAACCCCTCTCCCCCCTCCTTCAACATCCAATCCACCGCCTCCTTCCTATCATTCACCTCCGCCTCGTAGATCGCGTCATGCCCGACTCCATTCTGTATATACGGGTCCGCGCCGGCCTCGACGAGTACCTGGACCGCGGCGAGATGGCCGTTTAGTGCGGCCCAGTGGAGGGGGGTGTTGCCGGCGCTGTTGCGGGTGTTGAGGAGGGTGGGGAGGGAGGCAGAGGAGGGGGGGAGGGTGGTGAGGAGGTGTTTGAGTATTTCTGTGGGGGGAGGTGTTAGCTGTGTTCATCTCATCCTTGATCCCTCCATTCATCCACCATCCCCCTTCCAGCCACACCAGAAATCCCGTTGAAGGAGGGGGGAGACCAAGAGTAGGGAGGAAAACTAACCACTATGTCCATTTGCAGCCGCCATATGCAACACTCCATTCCCCGACTCCCCATCCACAGCCACCGCCGCCAGAATCTCCTCAACCGCACACCCCTCGCGCTTACACAGCGCCTCGAGCTGCTCGCGGAAATCCGCCAGCTCGCCCGCGCGCGCAAAATAGATCAGGTCATCGGTATCGTCTTCGGAGAGGGTGGGCGCCATTGCGTATGTATGTTGGGTGGGTGTGTATTTGTTTAAAGAGGGAGGATTGGGGAAAGGGAGGTCGGAAAGTTGCTGGCGGGAGGTTTCGCGGGGTTGCTAGTGGGGTTTTTTTGTGGTGGGTTTGGGGCTGCTTATCGGGATGGATCCAGGGCCGGGATTGTTGGTTTATGATGGGAGGAACGCGGAGACTGCAGTGTAAGTATGTATAGTTTGTTATTTGTTATATTCAATTTATGTAGATTGGTTTGGTGGTATATTACATATGTTCATTTGAAACGCCATATATCCCCGTTGGCCAGTACAAATAACCCGGGCGTCAAACCTACTGGTATAGGTCCTCCATTGGCTCCACTTTTACACTTATTACGTTCAACCACATTAACGAAGCATGTATGAAAGGTCCGGTAGACCGTTAATAATGTCCCTGACGATCTGATCCTGCTCTAATTCCACCCTGGACTTCTGGCCGACAGGTGGTTCAGATGGAATCTGTGGCGAGGTGGCTTTGGCCGACTCCGTACTCTTCAATGCTGGTGTAGCCTTCGGTGCCACAGGAATGGGTTTCGATGCAAATGAAGATGGCTTAGAGGTATGCGACAACGGCTTGGATGCTGGTACACCCGGTGGCGCGGTACTTGGAGACTCAAAGAATGAGAAGTCTGCGTTTGCCCAGGGATCTTCCGAGCCAGACGTTAACTTGGACAAATCCCCAAGACTTGATCTATTCGATGCTTTTGGAACGAAATCGTCCATGTCAAACGGTTTCGCAGGGGTAAACCCGCTGGCTTGGCTCCCGAGTGAGGCATTCCTGAAGTGTTTCCCGACGTGATTGTTGCTCATACCAACATGGCTTAAGTCTGGTGTAGTCTTTGGCGGCGCATTGCCCTGACTTGAGGATGGAAAGCTAGACATGACTGGGAAGTTTGAGGTAGTAGGGGATGCCACCATTTCGCCCCATTCGTCATCATCGTCGTTTGCCTTTGGAATGTTTCCCGCCCGCTGCTCTGGTGGGTGCGGCGCAGCTGCTTTGGGTTTCAATGGCTCTATAGGAACGGGCACTGGGCTGGGCGATTCAAAAGCCTTAGAAATAGGAGGTATAACTGGGTCCTGGCGGAAACTTTTAGGGTGAGAATCGCTGGATGCCGAGGTAATGGCCGTAGCTGGGTCTGGAGATTCAGGTTGCGCAGTGCTCCAACTGAAACGCGGGCTCGGTTCCACTGGTGAGCTTACGATGCTCTTGATAGAGCCCATGGAACTCTTCTGCCGATTGTGGACAGGCATAACATCGGGTGCAGTCTGTCGGGGAGGTGAAGTATGCAAGGCTGGTTGCCTTGCCTTGGTCGATTGCGACGCTTTGCGCGGTATATGCAGGGCTTCGGTATTTGGAGCTTGCCCGGGTTTACCCCAGCTGAACATATCCTCGACCCTCCCTCCACCAAGGGCCATGCCAGCACCTAGGCGACCCTCCTCCATCCATTTGTGTACAATATCAAGTGTCTTTTCTCGAACCTTGGAATCTTGCCAACCCATTCTAACATAGGCATCATCGTCCCCAGAGTTGTGTTTTCGCATTGTCCCATATCGAGAGATTCGATACCACACCTTTCGCTGCTCGACGGTTAAAACTGAGTCGGTTATCGGGATGTCAATATTTGACGGCCCATAATTGGTAGACTCTGGTAATGACTCTTTATACGAATAGAGCTGATCCACGATAGACTTGTCGATGTCAAATTTTATCGACCCGCGTTCGAAAGTCCTTCGCTCTTCTGGCCGTGAAATAATAGGCTTTTCTGGAGTTTTCGACGACTGCACTGAAGTCGGAGCATCTGTCGACACTTCCGGCTCGTCAGAACCTGCACTAGCACTGACAAAGGAGACGCCATCTTCAAAATCGCCAAAATCGTCCTCCGTTTCTGCGGGACAAGGCTCTTCGAGCGTCGGCTCTGATGAAGCTAAAGGCAAATCTTCATTGCTGCGACCATCGGGGGTGCTTGGAGATTCCACAGCTAAGCCATCAAATAGCTGAACTAACTCCTTGACCTTTGAAGTGTCCTTAGTTTCAACTGGTATGGGCCGTGATTCTCCATCAGGTGAGGTATGTAGAGAATCATTGGTCGTTTCATGGCGGTGGCTATGTTCCGAGAGTGATAAGGACGGCCGAGAAGACTGGGGCGCATCCTTATCTGGGGTCTCTGAGGAAAGAGGCTGAGAGACGTTATCCCCTGCATCGGACTCTTCATGGCCGGGTGATTCTATAACGGGGGCTTTCTTGCTACTATCTTGAGATGGAGATGTTTCGGGTTGTGGAGACTCCACGACGGACGAGTCAAGCTGGCGTTCTTCTTGTGGAGAAACGTCACCTCCAATCTCACTAGGCTCCCCGTGGGGGTGGTATGAGCCCGCATCGAGGGTTTTGGCTGGTTCTAAAGCTTGTTGTGTCAAATTCGGCGATAACTCGCCTTCTGTTTGAACATCTGGTTGTGCCCAGGGGTCGTCAAAACTCTGTTCCCCTCTTTTTCCTTGTAGATTTTGTTTGAGCGATTCTTCTGCCTCGTGCGAGTGCAGGACCCAGGGCGATTCGACCGTCGTCGCAGCCGCCTTATCCTCTCCAAGAGGCTCGTGTCCGTTGCTCTGATGGTAGCTCCAGCCCTCACCCCCACCCTGTATTATCGACGTACGCTGCGACTGGACTACATTATCAAGATTCGCCGACCACTGTTCATCATCCTCATCATCATCCCAAGGCGATCTTGGCCCCGAGTCGAACGGGAGCTCCTTTTCCGTAGCTATCACAATCGGCATCGGCCTCGCCTCATCTAATTTTGTAGCTGTCCCTGGCGCCTCATCTGCCCATGGCGAGCCCCAGGGGTCATCCATTGCGGCTCGAAGGTAAGCGCGACTTTCATCGTGTCCCGAGCTTGCGAATTGTTGCTCGGATGGCAAAACCACAGCGCCTGGCAGTTACCTGGATTCGAAATTTGGGGCCGGCGTGAGATGCGCGTCTACCTACGTCGATGATGCAGGGGTGCTGCTTCGGAACATCCGGAAGCCGCAAAAACGTGGTGCCGATCGGGTGGGGCCACGGGCGTTGCTTGCTAATCTGTAGCAAGGTATCGATAACATAAACCCCAGGGTCTCTGAATTTATTTCTATGGATCACAATGATATGACTAGACATCAAAGTATATAACAGAGGATTTCTGGCGAGACAGCGGTATAATACACAATGTCTCTAGACAAGATAAAAAATATTGTCCTTGTAAGTTACATTCATCACCACCAGGAACCCCACTAATCTGTTGTGTTACAGGTCCTCTCAGGCAAAGGAGGGGTCGGCAAATCCTCGATCACAACCCAACTTGCGCTCTCCCTCTCCCTCGCCGGATACTCTGTCGGAGTCTTAGACATCGATCTCACCGGCCCATCTATACCCCGCCTCTTCGGCATCGAGTCCGCGAAAGTCACACAAGCCCCAGGCGGATGGGTACCAGTCCCAGTCCACGCCGCGGACCCTGAAGCCGGCATCGGGGAGCTGCGATGTATGAGCTTGGGCTTCCTACTCAGAGAAAGAGGTGATGCGGTGGTATGGAGAGGGCCGAAGAAGACGGCTATGGTGCGTCAGTTCTTGAGCGATGTGCTTTGGGGCGAGGTTGACTACCTCTTGATTGACACGCCACCGGGCACTTCAGATGAGCACATAAGCTTGGCGGAAACACTGCTGAAGAATGCAGCGCCTGGACAAGTCAAGGGGGCTGTTGTTGTCACGACCCCACAAGCTGTGGCTACAGCGGATGTGAAGAAGGAGCTGAACTTCTGCGTCAAGACGGCTATCAACGTGATTGGCGTGGTGGAGAATATGAGCGGATTTGTGTGTCCCAGTTGCTCGGAATGCACAAATGTGTTCAGCTCTGGGGGCGGCGCGGTGATGGCGGAGGAGTTTGGAGTTAAATTCCTCGGAAGCGTTCCGATAGACCCCCAGTTTGTCATGCTGGTGGAGGCGGGCAGGACACCTTCGTACCCAGCGGGCACGTCGATTAATGGCCAGGCAATGGAGAGCGCAGATGGGCAACCAACAAATGGTGGGACTGAAGAGTCTGGGCAGCTGGTTGCGAAGTACCCCAAATGCTCGCTATCCCCAATCTTTAAGGATATTACAGCACAGGTTATCGGGGCTTGTGAAGCGCGCTGATGGCCGTACGAGATTTGAAGTTATTGCATATAGTTATAAAAGGGGCATAGCGAAGGCGTTTATGGTATAAAAATGACGCTCTTCTAGCGCAAATATAGAGCAAAAAGTTAAATATAGTGTCCCGTTTGATGATTCTCCCCATTATCCAGAGTCAAACTAAATCTTTTGAACATTCAATATCTATATTCTAATTTACAATACTCGAACATCCAGACGCCAATAAATGCTCATAAAATGTATAATACACAACCGCTTCGCCTACAACAGACTCAAGGGCTTCAGGACCTTCTCTCTCGCGACCTGGCCGGCGAATTCGCCGCCCTTCTGTAACGCCAGTGCTCCGATTATAGCGTACACGGAAGTCGTCAGGACGACATCGACACCGGATGCTCCTAGTCTCAGCGGCTATTAAGAGTTAGATTTGACTTGTTTGAGGCCATAGGGGGGTATCATGAGGGACATACGTTTCTCGGCTTCCACCTTGTGACCTGGTCGATGCCATATGAGCGCGCGAGTTGTCCTACTCTCTGCTTGGACAGCACGTCCCCAAGGTCGACTGCCTGGACCTTGGCAAGGCCATCGAGGGATGGGTGGTTGAAGGGTTCGCGGTTATAAGTATCTGTCGATGGAGGAGGCGGTGCCTGGGACGTAAGCAGCACCGTCGTGCCCTGAAGCACAAGAATCCTCTTCCCTGTAATCATTGTCAGCCCCATTCCCCCATACGCAGACCGCCACCGGTCCCATGCAAGACATCACATACCCAAAAAAGCCAGCTTATCGTTAAACCCTCTCCTCCCCTGATCAAAGCTCTTATGCGTAACCGCAAGCCACTTCACCTCATCCGTGAGCGCATTCTCCCCACCCACACCCAAAAACTTGGTATACATAGCATCCAACAGCGCCGGATCCTCATTAACCGAAAACGCCATCTGCGGGTTCTTAACACGCGGCTGGAACGGCGCCTTCATCTTCTCCGGCGTAAACGACCATCGCGGCCTCTCGCTCAGCTCCTCCGCGCGCGCGGCGCTCGTGGAGAACAGCTTCTGTGCTTGTGCGGGGGCGACCCGGGACGCGAGGGAGGAGAGGGGCGTGCAAGCGCTGCAGAGGGAAGGGCGTTGGGCAATCGCCTGGAGGGAGCGGAGGGGCGCTTTGGTGGCCATTGTTGTGGTGGAAGGGGCGCACTCTTTTGTTGGTTTGGGGCGGTCGTTCCTGGTTGGTGAGGGTGTTGAATTGGTGGTTTGTCGAAATTCTGGAGTTTGAATTAGCGCTAGGCGATTTTGGGACCTGGCGACCGGGGCGCGTCATTTGGGGCAACCTTATCTGGGCGAGGAGCTCCAGCTGCTGCGCCCGCAGAACACAAGCATTTCTTAGGAGTATGAGGTTATTTTTGGTTTATTGCTATACTTATGGCGGCGCTTAATGGCTTACTTGCTGGAGGGAAGAATGGGAGGAAGTCGCTGGAACAATTGCTGAGTGAAACTCTGCCAAAGGACACAAGCTTCAAGGTATACCATCTATCCACGCCACCAACGTCCACTTCAGCGATCTACTGTGCTCCCCAAGGAAAGCGACCCAACAGGACATACTGCGAGAGTCATTTCCTGTCGGTGTCGATAAATTCAAATGGCAAGGCCACCTCAGGTTCACCCGGCGAAGTGCTCGTCTACGCTATCGAGATCCTCATTTATTCGACCGCGCACTCCACCACGCTATTCGTATCGAAAGCCGATTCCAGCGGATACCTACACCTTCTGAACCTGCCCAAAGGCAGTCCGTCACCGCTCAAGGAGATCAGCTCGGCGTTTTTGTCATACCTAGTGGAGCGACGCAGGAGGCCTGGCATCCAAACTATCGTTTCGCTGTTCGCCCGGGCGCAGGATCAATATCTATTTGCGAGGAGCATTGATAATAAAGGGAAGCATGTCTTGGATGACAGAGGCTTGGTGAAGTGGTGGTGCCGGGTGCTGAACCCGTTACTGGCCAACGAGAAAGACGGAGGGTGGCATAACATTCATGGATACTTGACGGTGCCGGGATTGGATACATATGAGACGAGGGCATTCCTACCACCAAAGCCCGGAGAAATGAAGACTTGGACGGTTGGCCACCCGCTACGAGAGATTGCGCTGTTCCCGGGTGCGCCTCCTCGGTGCCTGATTCCCCACTTCCCAGACGATCCGAAGTCGAGATTTCTTGATGAGTTGGATGATGAGCTTTCTGGATCTCAGGGGAAGGATAATGGGCAGTGGAAGAGTGTGAAGGACTTGGATATGTTTTGGGAAATGATGGCTTTCCGACAGGAATGCAGTGCCGGCCGTCTTGTGGGGTTCATATGGGTTGTCTTTGCGCCCACTCCTCCATCGGAAGCAGAAGATACGGCTAGCAGTCAGGCATTGACGGGTCAGGCGAGCTTTGCAAGCAGTTTCACGGAGCTAGATGATAGTCCTGTCAAACCACAACGACCCTCTAGGCAGCTGAATCAGACTGACGAAACTCTCAAAGACGAAACTAGGTCTCCATCCCGTACAAGACGCCGAAAGGCGAAGAAGGCGCCCACTCTGTCTGGGCGTATTGTTCCCCGGAAACCGCGAGTCAAGGAAAATAACAGTGGCCATCGGCCTTCAAAGCCCGAGAGAACGCTATACTACATATGGCCAGCCGACAGCAGAGGGCAAGTTGTGCTCGAGGAGAAGGACTACCATCGCTTCCACGAACTCCTCTTATCTCTCGACTTCGCGAATCTCGGCCTGGCATGCGAAGCCACGAAACGATGGACCGGCGAGGTCCTGGGAGGCTCTCCGGTTGAGACGCTTGGATGGGGGACTACAGTTGTCGGTACGCGAGCTTTTGAGGCGAGAAACTTGCCGGGTCGCGATACGGTCACGACGCTGAATGTTGGGCTTGTGAGGAAGAAGAGGCGAGCTGGCGATGATGGAGGAGTCTCTGCCGAGGCACACGCCCGAGGAGCGTGTGCAGGCCCCTGAGGTCAATGTTCTGGGTGCTGGGATGGTTCGGCAAAGCCGTGAAGGGTGGCACCAGGGCGGCTGGCGTGGGTTTTATGACGGAGCATTTACTGGTGTTTTGAAAGGCGCGCGGGGTGTTAACGTTTGCAATAGTACTTGTGCCACTCAAAAGTCCGAAGGGGGACTGTGGATGGCAGTAGTGGTTACAGCAAACTATAATTGAAATGAACATTCGCAGTTACTGACGAGTATAATTGCCATATTAGTGCCTTCGGTCGTTAATAGGGCAAGGTTATAGTACAGGGCATCCCCATTGTAGCATCTGTCACTTCAGGCAGTAAACACCTTATTTCTGGGCCACATCGAAGGCTTATATAAAAATGAGATGACGCCGGAAATGACGCTGTAAATACCACTAAATACCACTACAGTAAATCCCATAAAATACCGCTAAAAGTCACTTAATGCCAGTCAAAGGTCCCCTTAATCTCGGATACGTCAGGAACATCAACGCCCCCATTCTCTCCCTCGCACCTCCCCCCTCAAAATAAATCCTGGGGGTCCGAGTTTGGCGTCATCCCAACATACCATACTCCCAGCATACTCGATACCGCCCAGATACTGCCCAGCACCCCTCTCCTCGGACCCGTTTCGAACCTCATGCTTTCTTAATATACCCTCGTTTTTTCACACCGTTTCTCAATAATCTATCTCGATTGACCGAATTTACACCCCGATCAATTACCACACCCTCTATCCGCCATGTTACCCAATCTACGTGGCCTCGTAGGCCTCTCCCTCGTCGCTCTCCTCGGCTTCGCGACAGCCCAAACCACAACAACCTGCGATCCTACGAAGGGGGATTGTCCCGAAGAGCCTGCGCTGGCTATGAGATACAACTTCGACTTCACCCAGGAATCCAACGGCTCTACCTGGAATGTGGAGGCAGGCAACGCCGACTATCAGAAAGACGGCGTTCTTCTCCCAATCAATGCAAGGAAGCAGGCGCCGACGCTTGTATCGCAGTTCACCATCATGTTTGGCAGAGTCGAAGTCCACATGAAGGCTGCCCGTGGGAAGGGAATCGTCTCGGGAATCGTCTTGCTTTCCAAGGATCGCGATGAGATTGACTGGGAATTAATCGGTGGCAACGAAACCCACGTCCAATCGAACTACTTCGGTAAGGGAAACGAGACATTATTCGACAGGGCCTTCTGGCACCCTCTCAACAAGCCCATGGACGAGTTCCACAACTACACGCTTCTATGGACCGCGAAACAATTGGACTTCTTCGTCGACACTGAGAAAGTCCGCACTCTTATGTACAAAGATGCCCTCGATGGCAAGAACTACCCCCAGACACCTATGACCGTCAAACTGGGCGTCTGGGCAGGCGGCGACCCTGGCAACACGAAGGGCGTCATCGAGTGGGCAGGCGGCGAGACCAATTTCGACCAGGTGCCCTTCCACATGTACGTGAAGAGCGCCGACATTGAAGATTTCGGCACCGGCGCCAAAGCATACAAGTACGGCGACCTCACCGGAAGCTGGGAGAGCATCCAATCCATCCCGTAAGTCCATTTCCCACCCTTTATAACCCACCAAAGCAACCCCTAACCCCACCCAGCGGCAACTCCACGCAGCGCCTCCTCCTCCTCGACATCAAGCCCCCCCCAAAGCCCACCATAAGCGACAAATTCAACGCCCTCCCCTCCTCCTCCAAAGTTGCCATCTACGCCTCCGCCGGCGGCGCCTCCTTCCTCCTCGCCGGCGCCTGTCTCATCTCGTGCTGCCGCAAGCGCCGCCAGGGCAGCCGCGAAGCCAAAGCCTTCCGCGCCAAACAAGAAGCCATGGACCGCGAAGACGAGGCCTACCAGATCGAACTCAAGGCCGCAGGTATCAGCCCCGACGCGCTTGGTCCCAGTGGTATGACGGCCCAGGAATTCGCTAGTGGTGGCGTCGTAAAGTCGCCCGGCATCGATCGCTCGATGGACCCGCCTATTCCTACCGTCCCAGCTGTGTATCAAGGTGCAGGCGCGTCTATTAAATCACCCACTGGCTCTCTCCGCCCCGGCGCTGCGCCCTACGGCGATGCAGCTGGATTGCGCAGTCCCGCGCTCGCGTCCCCCGGCTACGCAGGCGGTGGGCAGTTCGACAACCCCCGCTCGCCTGGGCCGGGGGGGTACTCGGTGAACTCGCGGAATGGGAGCGGGGGCGGGTATGTGCCGGCGGCGGCGCCAAATAACTCGACGGAGTATTTTGCGCCGCAGCCGAGGAGCAATACGCAGGGCTCGTGGAATAGTGCGGCGGCGGAGAACATGGGGAGGTCGGGGATCTCGAATTCGCAGAGGCCGAGGGGGAATGGGGGGTATGGTGGGGGTGCGTTTTAGGGGCCCTAAAGCGTGTTGGCCGCAGAGCTGGCGGTTACGAAGATTTGGGAGTGTAGGGGATTAATGACTGGCGTTGGGATGTGATCTTTTTTGTAGGACTGAGGGGTTAGTGGTCGTGCGGTTTTAGTACTCCAGGGCCGGGTGATAGATACCAGACGTGTAGACGTTCGTTCTCGAGTGCCTCGATTAGGCGATGATGGATATTTTCTCATCCATATTTGAAAATGGAGACTTTTATCTCAGTGGTAGTAACTTCCTTCTAAACCGTGATACTTCCTGTGGTGGTTGTGATAACTGGGAAGCTCCAACCACCGACATCACACCCAGAAGATGTCGTAACCCCCAGTCTTGGCCATATTCAAAGCTTTCTCACAAGCAAACAATCATTTACTCTCCATTTAACACCCCCCTCATTTCTGGCAACCCCATATTACCCCGCCCACTACAACCATGATCTAACACCCAACGCGGCTACCCGCCCCAACCGCGCCACAGGCCCAACCGCCGACCGCGATGGGAACGGCACCAACAACACCAGAATCGGGAGGGTAGCGCCAACGAGGGGTAGGCAGCGCCAACACGAGGCAGACTGGGTGGTTGACGTAGGCAGACAGGCAGGTAGGTAGAAACGTGGGACGGGTGTGTTCGGTGGTAGTGCGGGTTGGGCGCCTACAACATGGGAAATTTGGTATAGATTATAACCTTTTATGGGCCCACGGGTCGGTTTAGGTCCATCACTCCAGACTGGACCGTGGTATAAATATACTTATCATGTGACCTTCTCAATATAAACGTACCTGTTATAAAAATGTGATAGCATAGTAAAGCAACCAAGTAGATTTAGAAAATAGATAGCCTCTATCTCTCTACCTTCTCATTTTCCCGTCTTCGTCTTGTGGGTTGCTGTGTTGTTACTGGTGTGGTCTCTAGCACATGTCTGAGTATATCAGAATCACGAAGATTACGAGTATATTTGTACTCGAGCATAAATGTACTCAAGCACATGTCTACTCATACCGAACTCTGCAATGGAACATGGAGCAGTTTCGGTAACGTAGTTCACAAGCGAGTCGCCTACACAAGCTCACCGCCGCCGATTATTCCTTGGCATCGTACGAAATCATAAAATATCTTACAATTAATTAATGGGCAAAAGTTTTATATACCCTGCATTTGACGTGATAAGTTTTATATACCCTACATAATATGAAACCCCCTGCGACCAGTAAAAACCCCCCAATTCCCCCCCCGTAGCCTCCCGTAGCCCCCTCGCCGTCGCCCCCTCGCTGTCGCTCCTTTCGACGGCCTCATTCGGCCCAGTCGTTAAGGACTCAAGGACTCTCGACCAGGCGTCTAGGTCGAGGTAGAGCTGACCGTTCATAGGAACGGTCAGCTCGCCAAGAGAAGCCATCCTCGTGGGCCTGAGCCGAGCTCAGGACTTCCGATGCCTCGCGACGAGGGCTTCCGAAGAGTCGTCGAGTGCCTCACTGAGGGCAGCGGCTAGCGAGTCAGCTGGGACAGCGAGGAGGGCGACGGCGAGGGGGAGCAACCGCGAGGGAGGCAACGCGAGGGAGGGAGGCAACGCGCCGAGCGCGTTGAGTGGTTTCCTGCTTAGTAAGAATCACCATGGTATATAAAACTTTTGCCCTTAATTAATTAAACTATTCTAACTCTTCGGCATTTGAATCATCAGATATATCTACAATATTTGGACAAGTTCGTACGTTGTGACCAATTTGTCCGCAACATCTACAACAACGTTTTTGCGGCTCAGTTTGCTTCATACGACCCCTACTTTCTTGCAAATCAGCTTGTAATTGTATATTAGCCTCTCTTTGAGCCTCTGAGTCTTGGACAGCTTCGACAGTAAGTACTCCCCCTTCTTGCAATCGACGTTTCTTCGTACGACGACGTCGACTAAGTAAGTCATTTGCTTTGCGAAGTGCAGCGTTTTCTTCTCGTAATAACGTCAATTTGTGTATTGCACTCGCTGCACCTTTCGCAACCTGATCAATGCTTCGTAAAAGCAAAGTTGGTGAACTATTCTGATGTCGTATAATCCGGTCTTTAAGGTATGTTGATTGAGATTGTGTCTCAAGTACATTGTGCGTAGTTTTAGGTTCCCAAATCACAGGTAGAGTTGGCGTAGGCGTTGGTGTTGGCGTACGAAGTCGAACATCAAGCTTTGAGATTGCATAGTCTGAATCTGACAGTGCATTGATGTATGTGATGTTGATTAATTGAGGCAAGAGAGCTGCTATATGGAATCTCTACGTGTGGAGGTGCTCGCTAGTCGAGTTGACTCAACCACGTCGTGCGGGCTCAATACCCAGAACCTCCAGAGTTCCTCACACCCCCCAGGCCGCATAAGACGTGCCTCTGTATTGTTATGCTTCGTACGTGCATGGAATTGAATAGGCTGAGTGAGTGAGATAGCTGGTTTGTTGTCTCCATGAATGACAACAGGGTGAAGGTCAGGACCGAAGTATTTAAGCTCTGTGAGCAATTGTTGAATCCAGGCAGCCTCCTTGGCAGCGTAGGTCATGGCAATATACTCAGCCTCTGTTGATGAAGTAGCGGTAAGAGTCTGTTTACCGCTTTTGTATGTTACAATGCCACCTGCAGCTTTGAAAACATATGCATGAGAGCTTGCTCTGTTGTCGGAGTTGTCTGCAAATGCGGCATCGCTGTAGCCCACGAAATCAAGTCCTGGTGGACCAAATCGACCATCTTGAAATTGATCAAGGGTAAGAGTGGTTTGTGGAGCTTGAAAGCAAATTGCAAGGTCTGGAAAGCTCTTAAGGTATCGCAAGACATGTAAGGCGTGATCCATATGTTGCTGGCTTGGATTGTTTGCGAATTGACAGAGCTTATGAGTTGCAAAAGCAATGTCAGCGCGTGTAGTATTTGCAGCATAGCCAAGAGCACCGATCATACTCTGGTATTCCTGACGTAAATTCTCATCTATTGAACCGGTAAAAGGCTTAAGATGAACGCCATCAGGCTGCATAGGGTGAGAAGCTCCTTTGCAGTCTTCCATATAGTACTGCTTGAGAATTTTCTGAATATAGGTCTCCTGCGAAATGTGCATGGTTTTGCGAGTGCGATCACGGGTGATTTTCATTCCGAGGTAATGGTTAAGTGGACCAAGGTCACGGAGTTCGTATTTATCGCAGAGCTGTTGCTTCATCTCTGTGACAGTTTGGAGGTTGCAGTGGATGAGTATAATATCATCAACGTAGATGATGATGATTCCACCGTGCTTATGATGTTGAAAGACACAAGGATCTGCATTAAGAGGCTGGTATCCGAGAGAAACGAGGAATGTAGTGATTTCTTGTTGCCATAAAAGAGGTGCTTGCTTAAGTCCATAAAGAGCCTTAAGAAGACGAGCAACAAGGGCACGGCCGTGTGCATCTGTAGATTGAAATCCAGGTGGAAGGCGAATGTAGATATTATCGTTGTCGATGGGACTATTAATAAAAGCACAGACAACATCGAGCTGAATACATTCGAGGTCATAGATTGTAACAATGGCCATGAGGAGTTTGAAGGTGGCTGCACGTACAACAGCTGCATATGTCTCGAGATAGTCTAATCCCGGACGCTGTTTGTCACCACGGACAACAAGACGAGCTTTGCAAGAAGCTAATTTGCCTTCTGCATCAGCCTTGTATTTGAATACCCATTTCACAGGGAGAACACGTTGGTCTTTATGATGTAGAGTTTGAGTCCAAGTGTGATTTTTGACGTGTTGAGAGATCTCCTTATCCGTAGCTTGCTTCCACTGTTCACTAAAAGGATGGGCCATAGCCTCTTTCCAAGTGCGTGGTTCAAGAGGAAGATCTTGAATGTTTGGTTTATGATCCATTCCTGCAGCAAAGCAATATGCGACTGTAGGTGGAAGAATACAGAGAGCGTGTCCGTGGTTTTGACGCTTCTTTGCAAGATTATCTTTTTGTTGTTGCAAAGCTTGAGTATATTGCTGACCTTTCTCTGTCTGTTTAACTTTGCGTTTTGAGTGAGAGGAAGAGGAGACAGGTTGATCCTGAATATGGAGACGGTGTTCGTGTAAGGCAGGTTGAGGTAGATCAAGTTGTTGCTGTTGAGTAGGAGGTGGATCGATGAAAGACATGTCTTCAAATTCCTGCTCGAGAAGAGTCTGTCGACCAAGTTGTGGGAGTTGAATCTCTTGATTTGCAAGCGGAGTAGGATCTTCATGAGTAGATTCACAGTCTGATCCTGGTGGTGAAGAATCTTGAGGCGAAATCACCCCCCCATATGTTAGAGTGTGAAGATCAAGAGGAAGAACACCCCCCGAATCTACAGGGAGATCTGGATGGAAGTGGTCAGCATTAAGAGTAATATATCCAGAATCATCTTCGTCATCTGTATCCTCGCTGTCGAAAGTTGCAAGCGGGTGCACTGGATTGATTTCGTTCTCATTAAATGTGACGTGAGAGGTGCGGATGACTTTGTTTTGCGTGAGGATGTAGATTCGATAAATGTGATCACCTTCGTAGCCAACGAGTTTGCCCTTCTGAGCTCAGACATGGAACTTCTGTCCTTGAACTCTCTTTTGCTTTGGTATGTAAACATAAGCTGTACAGCCAAATGTACGCCAGTGAGCAATGTTAGGGAGAATATGAGTTTGTTCGCAGAACTCAGAAAGCACTTGATGTGGTGTCTTTGAATTTTCGTTCTTGCGAGTAGGTGTTCTGTTCATGCTTTTGAGAGCTGTTATGAAAGCTTCTGGCCATATCTTGTATGGAAGTCCACTGCCTTGGATCATGGATCTGAGACGGACTTCCGTAGTATGGTTCGCCGTCTCGGCTTTGCCGTTCTGATATGAGTGGTATGGAGCCGATGGTTCATATTTGATTCCATACTTCTGACAAACCTCTTGAAGTTGTTGTTGTGAGAACTCTGTTCCTCCGTCAATGCGAAGTCTCTTGATGTGAGATCCCATCTGGTTGTGGTAGAAGTTGATGAACTTAATCAAAGCAGGAAAGGCATCACTCTTATTATTATAAGCTTCTCCCCATCGGTATCCTGAAAAATCATCTGTAAAAAGAATGAAGTATTTCTCTCCACGGTGTCCAGTGTTTGTAAGTGGGCCAACTGTATCACAGTGGATAAGATCTCCAACTGCAGTTGTCTTCTCTTGTGGTTGGTGAGAGATCTTCTGTTGTGCTTTTGTAAGATGGCATGTTTCACAGAACTGTTGTTCTCCAGTAAGCTTGTAGCCAAGTTGCTTTGCAAGATTATGGATGGAATCCCATCCTGCATGTGCAAGGCGTCGATGAAGGAGATTGATGTTAATGGAGATGATGGTGGGAACAACAGGTAAAGCAAGTGTACCCTGATCGATGTGTTGATCGCCAATGCCCATGACTTGTGGGCAGTAAAGCTGAAGAGTAGGATGGAATGGTGTGTACATGACTTCGATCCCTGTCTCCTTAAGACGGAACGTCATAGTGTCTCCCATCCAGATGATTGCATTCTCTGTTCTAAACTGCAACACCTTGGCTGAGATGATGCTAACAGGAATGGTGGGCGCGTAGTAGACTTCTGTAATCTGACGCGTAACATGGTTGCCATCTGTATCAACAGTGATAAGTTGAACTGTTCCCTTTTGATGTGCAAAGACAGATCCATTTGCGGATTCAACTTGCAATGGGACGATATTTTGTAACGAGATGAAGGCATCTTTGTTGTTGCAAAGATGATAGCATGATCCGGTATCGACGATCCACATCTCCTTATACCATGATTGTGAAGTAGAGAGAACAAGTGAAGGTGTAGATGCAGGAGATGGAAGCATTGCCATAGTTATGATGCCTCTCTTAGAGTTCTTCTTGGCCGTCTTCTGATTGTTGTATTTCTCTACCCATTCTGCCTTTGGTGTGAATCCTGCAATTGTGCTCAACTCGGGGTGGAGATGAAAGCATTTGTCAACTGTATGGGATTTGCCACAGCATGGACACTTGTCACGTGTGTTTTGACAGTGTTGTGGTTTTGACTTTGTATGTTCCTTGTTGTGACCATTAAAGTTGACAAGGTTTCCATCATTCTTCTGCTTTGATTCATCAAGAACAGTGTTGATGCAGTCGTTGATGTCTGGCACTTTGCCATTGCGAAACTCTTGTCTCATAGTAGCAGCCCAAACAGGATAGAAGTTGGAGAGGATGTGGATAAACTGGAGAGTTCTGACGGTGTCGGTAATGTCGCATTTGGCTTCATTTGCTGCAGCCAGGAGTGATGACCATTTGTTGATAAACTTATCCAGTCCCTTGCCATCCCATGTACAGTTGATCCAGTTTGTATAGTGCACTAGCATCTGCACAGGACCTTCTGTATCATAGCGGGTTGTGATGAGGTCGAGCATCTCCTTTGCACTTTCAAGATCTTGGATTTGTGCAGTGAGTGTAGCTGGAACTGAAGTGACGATGACGAGTCGAGCTTTTGCATCGTTGGCTTTCCATTTGTTGTAAGTGAGACTCTGAGCTCCGATGCGAGCCTCAATCTTTGAGTCTTTGAATTCGCCATCTTCATCGAGGTATTCTTCGAGGATGTTAGGCTTTTGGGGTTGAGTTGTATGGCCTGAGACGATGTCCCAAAGTGAGAGTGATTCGAGGTACATGCGCAAGGTTGCTCTCCAAGTCTTGTAGTTCTTGGAGCCTTCAAGTTTCGGAATCTTGGGGTCTTTCTCCATCTTGACCGTTATTTTGAGTTAGCCAATTTTATCTGGAGGAAAGGGTGGGGTTGAGGTGGTTGTTGATGTTGTTGTCGACACGCCTTGGTTGAGGTGAGATCGACGGGTTTGTTGATATGTGATAAGTTGTGAGGATACTCAAAGAGCTTTCCAATGACTTCCACAAAGTTGATCGTTGAATCAAACCAATGACTGCTTTGTTATATGGGTGCATACGCGACCCGGGCTCATAACCTGACAGTGCATTGATGTATGTGATGTTGATTAATTGAGGCAAGAGAGCTGCTCTATGGAATCTCTACGTGTGGAGGTGCTCGCTAGTCGAGTTCACTCAACCACGTCGTGCGGGCTCAATACCCAGAACCTCCAGAGTTCCTCAACTTGTTAATCATGAGTGCTAGATTTTTGAATGGCGATAATTATGTGACGGATAGTGTCATGAAGTTGCAGAATTTGTAACTTAGATATCTTATGAAGATAACGTTGAGATGAAGGGGCTTATCTACATCATCAATATAAAACTATTCATGCCCTCGCAGATCTATTAATACCAATTGCCATCTACTTGTGTCTATGCTAACTTCTTTAGTGTTAGAGCATCTGGGAAGGAAGGAGCTTGAGGAAGGAGCTTGAGGAAGGAGCTTGAGGAAGGAGCTTGAGGAAGGAGCTTGAGGAAGGAGCTTGAGGAAGGAGCTTGAGGAAGGAGCTTGAGGAAGGAGCTTGAGGAAGGAGCTTGAGGAAGGAGCTTGAGGAAGGAGCTTGAGGAAGGAGCTTGAGGAAGGAGCTTGAGGAAGGAGCTTGAGGAAGGAGCTTGAGGAAGGAGCTTGAGGAAGGAGCTTGAGGAAGGAGCTTGAGGAAGGAGCTTGAGGAAGGAGCTTGAGGAAGGAGCTTGAGGAAGGAGCTTGAGGAAGGAGCTTGAGGAAGGAGCTTGAGGAAGGAGCTTGAGGAAGGAGCTTGAGGAAGGAGCTTGAGGAAGGAGCTTGAGGAAGGAGCTTGAGGAAGGAGCTTGAGGAAGGAGCTTGAGGAAGGAGCTTGAGGAAGGAGCTTGAGGAAGGAGCTTGAGGAAGGAGCTTGAGGAAGGAGCTTGAGGAAGGAGCTTGAGGAAAGTGCCCCGAGGAAGGAGCGTTAGTAAGAGGACATTAGAGGAATGGAGCATTAGGGAAGGTGCATTAGACGAGCATTAGGGAAGGAGCATTGGGGAAGGAGCATTTAAGACTAGTTCGCGGATAGGAGATAGAAAAGAAACATAGCTTCTGTATCAGCACTCGATCTATTCTATTCACCTCTACTACTTGAATCACTAGGTTCGTTTACTATCACCCTCGTAGTTATCCCTATTCCGCTGTCTTTTTAAGGCAATTGTTGTCTGAGATGTCCGGCCCACCGGAAGCCCGTTTTATTTGCCGTACATTCTAGACAAGATATATAAATACCTACAGCAACGATGCTTTATTTCACTGCCTGCCGCACCCCTCACTTGACAACAAGTACTCATGGGGCAAGTATAACTCTGCTGCATTATTAAAATGCCTAATTCTGTAACTCCTCATTATTCAGTACGTATTCACCACATTCGATCTTTACTGGGCGATGCGAGAGCCTGAATTCTCATCAACGGTTACACCAGACCATGGGCGGCGGGAATGGGGGCGATGGAGGGGGGTCATGATCGGCTCCCGAAGCTGTCCAAGGTATCCACTTGGCCACGATTAGCTTCATAACTACCCCGCCTGGGCCTCCCCCACCTGCCTCAAACCTCAATTATATCATAACTTGCACAAGTTTCATCGCGATTATCTTGTGAGACCTCATCCAGAACAGCCCCGGGGAATATTCCGGAATAATTGATTATCTTTCCATGGTCACCGCATCGTGCCAGGTTAAATCGCATTACCTTGGAGGGGAACAAATTCAACACCTAATGAACCAACCTTCGGTCTTCCCAGTTAAGCTTCTTACATTTCGTACACTGCTGCCAACTGACCTCTTGATCATCTCCCTGGATAATTTATAATGGCCACTACATTATCAGGACGTGGCCAACGCTCCTTTTCTGCCTACGACGTCAGCATCCCGGAAATCACCGACAATGTCTATGATGGGAAGTCAAATCCATCAGGAGTGATATCTCTTGGTTTATCTGAAAACGTAAGTTTTAATGCTATGATGCTTTGATGCTTTGATGCTTTGAGAAGCCATAGCTGACAGGAATTTTAAGCACTTAATCCACGGAAACGTTGTTGACTTCATCAATAAGCATGTAAGTAACATAAGCTCATCTGCACTGCATAGCTGGTGCCGCTCTATTTAAGGCTAAAACTTGTCTGCAGTTCAAAATCGATGAATTCACCGCTACAACATATACAGGAACCACTATTGGAGGTGTTGATCTGAGGAGAGCGGTAGCAAAGCATATCAACAAGTATTTCAATCCTACCGTACCTGTGGGTATTAAGGAAGTTGGTATTGCAAATGGCGTTACGGCAATCTGTTCAATGCTGGCTTTCATGTTGGGAGATGTTGGAGATGGCATCCTACTTATGCGGCCAATTTATGGAAAATTTGAAAATGACTTGACGATCGTTGCTCAGTATATATCCGTCCCAGTTTCTCATTTGCCAAGCTAATTAAATTAGATGCAAAACGCTATATGCCAACATGGATGATACGGATCCATTTTCAGAGACTGTGGTAGAGAAATACGCTCTCCGTCTTGCTCAAGCCAAAGCAGATGGTACCAATCCTCGGGCCATCCTAATCTGCAACCCACACAATCCCTCTGGCCGGTGCTATCCCAAGGTTACCCTTATTGCGCTCATGAAATTCTGTGCCCAGCACAATCTGCATTTAATCTCCGACGAAGTGTATGCTCTGACCGCCTTTGAAACAGCTGATCCTTCAAGCGCGCCGTTCACCTCTGTCATCGAGATCGATACTATTGGAATCATCGACCCGAGATACCTGCACGTCGGGTATGGTTTTAGCAAAGACTTTGGTGCCCCTGGCCTTCATATAGCGGCCCTAGTGACCAGGAATGATGAAGTCCAGCAGGCCTTTGAAGCGATTGGTCTGCTCCATGCACCTAGCGGGCCGAGCTGTGCAATTGTGCTTGCGATGTTAGAGGATGATAATTTCGTAGAAGATACTATTAAATTGTCCCACATCAAACTGGCGGAAAACTACGAGCTGGTGACCCGCATGCTGGATAAAGTGGGGATTACATACTGGAAAGGGGGCAGGGCGGGGTTCTTCCTGTGGATCGATTTGTCCAGGTTTTTACCGCTGTCAGAGGGGACCCAAAAAGATGCCGAGAGGGAAAAGATGCTTGCTGGGAGGTTGTTGGAAGGTGGTATTTTTCTAAACCCGGGGGCTGAATGGGCAGAGAGGCCAGGTTGGTTCAGGTTGATCTTCTCACATGAGAAGGGCAAGGTAGAGGAAGGGGTGAAGCGGTGAGTTAAATAGCTATATGGCGGCCTCTTGAGTGTGAAACTGACTGGATATTTGCGCAGGCTTATTAAGACACTCTGTGGGGAGTAAAGTACCATGAAGAGGGACCGTCATCTCTGACGGTTGATATCGGCAATTTAAGCCCATAACATTTATCCTTTCAGCCCTGTTTACGAGTAACTAGCGCATTGATTATAGCTCTGAGTGAGGGAGCGCCTTTGATTGAAATAAAACACCAACTACTCGGTGTTCCACCCACTCGCTTCGCTCATAGGTGGCGACAGCAAGTTGTGCGTGCGACAGCAAGATGTGCGACACATAAAACGAAGAAAAAGACGCCTTATAAAGAAACTATATAACTATATAATTCAAACATAAAATCAATAGAACTACTATCGCTATCGCTACTGCCACTATCGCTACTACTATCACTTTGATCCTTACTATACCGTAAAATTATCACTTTTGATTTCAACCATTCCTTCTTCCGCTGTGCTACCCGCTTCCTCTCAACCTTACGCTCTTAATTTCGATTTTACGTGCTTGCGCTTGTAGCTGCTTTACTACTTGGTCCGATTCACTTGCTGCTCTTGCCCGTCTGCTTTTGCTTGCAACTTTGCTTCCTTCTCTTCCCCGAATTTTCCGTGCATCTGATGCATATAACTGCCCTCCTTTCTGTAGTGATTTCCGTGCCCTTGCCTTTGCTGCCTTCTGCTCTACTGCACGTAAAGTCATAATATCTAGCTCAGTCTTATAGAGCTCTGCCCGGTGTAGAACAACTGTAGTTCCACGTGCAAATGATTGAAACCCTTCTCTTGAAGGCGATGTTACGGCTAAGTGCTAGTGCTATGGCTAGCGCTTACGGCTGCAACCTCACGTGATGGATAACATTGGATATCATGTGTTGGAGGTAATTGCGGAATACGGGGAACTACACACAAATTTGTGTGGTAATCTCCGACTACCGTAATCAATCCTTCGGGCAACGGAGCAGAAACTTCACAGTAGAATACAGCAAATATAGTATATAGATCAATTGAATTACTACACTATCTACGGAGCCTACGTATTATTTATGTTATTCGGAGGACCTACCCAAACGCCCTAAGTAGCAGAAGGGTTTGGGCTCAAAACCCAATGCGTCGGGGTTCTGAGGCAAGCGGCTCACGTCAAGCACCAATTGGGGAGCCCGACGGTAACACTGGGAAAAGCCGTCATTTTAGGGCCAAAATGCCACCGTATCCCACGGTGCCCGTCCTCTTTTCCCAACATCATGGATATTGTTGTAATAGTCACATGATCTCACGTGATCTCCATAGGGATTATCGGTAAAGCCAAGTATAGGTTACATAGTCAGGAATACATACATTTATTACTCAACAGTTATGAGCCCGGAGCACATCTAGGTCGCATTTTGAACGTCTTCAAACATCGTACAGACCTCACACCCCTCCTAGGAGTCGATCACCATCATAATGGCGACCCTACAGAAGGTGGGGGTGGTCCTTACCAACCCAAAAGACTGGGATGAGTGGCTAGAGACGATTAAGACAGCTTCAATGGAGACAGGAGTGTGGAGTTATATTAATCCAGCATTAGATGACCCCCCTATTCTCGTACCACCTGTTAGGCCAGTTCCTAACTTCGTACAGACTGCAGCTCAGGCCAGTAGTGGCGTGGTCCCTCAGACTACTCCACGGGTGTCAACAAGAGCAACATCAAGTCAGACAGCCCAACCATCAATCGAAGCCTCCCAACCAATCATACCAATTACATACGGATCTCTCACAGACGACCAGAAGGAAGAGCTTCGAAACCTACAAGCGGACTTCCAATATGATCGAAAAATATGGGAGAAACATGTAAGGACGCCTCCTTACCTAGATACTCGAAGAACCTGCCTCAGAGCTGTTACGGTCACTACAAGCATGAAATCCGACTCGGTGTGGTTTCGAACCAGTAGAGGAGCACATAGCGAGTTACAGCATGGGGGACGGTAAGGGTGTAGGGTTCAGGGTCGATGCCGACCTGTTGCGGTGGAAGGTTCAGGGCTAGGGTTGGGACAACCGAGTCGGGCCCGTTTCGCGTACTTAAGGAAACAGACTCAACGGGGTTCCCCCTTCATCTTTTTTGTATCCTTCGTAGTAGACCTATAGGATAGCTGTCATACTGACATTCGTTGCACTCAGTTTGCTATCAAACTCAAGAGCAAACTTAGAAATCTCCTCCTCAAACCTACAAGTCACTATACATATTTTGGCTTGTCACACCAACAACAAGAGCAATACTACTCAACGATTGCTACAACCCTCTATGATTCATTACACGTCATTTCTCCTTAGTTACTGGGCCGATATGACCACATAGCATATCTCTACAACCCTCTATGATTCATTACATGACATCACTCCTTAGTTACTGGGCTAATACTACACATGACATATCTCTATCAACTAGAGGCCTAGGAACATGAACGATAGCTCTAGAAGCTTCTACAACCCTCTATGATTCATTACACGTCATCGCTCCTTAGTTACCCACAAGATTCGTTAAGTTATGACATAATTTGTCTATAGGTACTCTGACCTTGGACCTCTTTTTCACTTCCTATAGGCTAGGAACCCAAGAGATGGTTCTATGGGATTCTCTTATGTTCACTACATGATTAGCAAGCTAGTTGTGGGTCGCACTTGATTTCTAATACATTTACCAAGCCTGGTTAGTCATGGAAAGTCATGGAAAATGAGAGAACTACACTCCTTTGGCATAAATAGGATTGCCCTTTCCTTAAGAAAGGGCAAGCAGACAATACAGTAAATCCACTAGCACATACTTCTACGTCTTTTCCAAGCTTCCAAGCATTGATCTTGTTATTCTCTGTTTTTGAAAAGTCAGTGAGGTGCTAACCTCTGACTTACCCCTGAGTTCTCAGACTCAACATTTGTTGCAACTTGTCTAAACCACTTCACCACATCATACACCTGATTGCTGCGTTGTGGAATAGTCTAAGCTACAACCCTTTGGCTCTGTTTCCTAAGACAGTGTGTTGTCTTAGTAAATTCATCCCTTCCTTGGGTGGCTAGATTCTCATATCTGGTGCACCCACCATTACAGGGACATCGTCTCAGGCCATACAACTCAACCCCAAAAGCCTAACATCCTCGAAGAATACCTCGATGAAGATGGCGAATTCAAAGACTCAAAGATTGAGGCTCGCATCGGAGCTCAGAGTCTCACTTACAACAAATGGAAAGCCAACGATGCAAAAGCTCGACTCGTCATCGTCACTTCAGTTCCAGCTACACTCACTGCACAAATCCAAGATCTTGAAAGTGCAAAGGAGATGCTCGACCTCATCACAACCCGCTATGATACAGAAGGTCCTGTGCAGATGCTAGTGCACTATACAAACTGGATCAACTGTACATGGGATGGCAAGGGACTGGATAAGTTTATCAACAAATGGTCATCACTCCTGGCTGCAGCAAATGAAGCCAAATGCGACATTACCGACACCGTCAGAACTCTCCAGTTTATCCACATCCTCTCCAACTTCTATCCTGTTTGGGCTGCTACTATGAGACAAGAGTTTCGCAATGGCAAAGTGCCAGACATCAACGACTGCATCAACACTGTTCTTGATGAATCAAAGCAGAAGAATGATGGAAACCTTGTCAACTTTAATGGTCACAACAAGGAACATACAAAGTCAAAACCACAACACTGTCAAAACACACGTGACAAGTGTCCATGCTGTGGCAAATCCCATACAGTTGACAAATGCTTTCATCTCCACCCCGAGTTGAGCACAATTGCAGGATTCACACCAAAGGCAGAATGGGTAGAGAAATACAACAATCAGAAGACGGCCAAGAAGAACTCTAAGAGAGGCATCATAACTATGGCAATGCTTCCATCTCCTGCATCTACACCTTCACTTGTTCTCTCTACTTCACAATCATGGTATAAGGAGATGTGGATCGTCGATACCGGATCATGCTATCATCTTTGCAACAACAAAGATGCCTTCATCTCGTTACAAAATATCGTCCCATTGCAAGTTGAATCCGCAAATGGATCTGTCTTTGCACATCAAAAGGGAACAGTTCAACTTATCACTGTTGATACAGATGGCAACCATGTTACGCGTCAGATTACAGAAGTCTACTACGCGCCCACCATTCCTGTTAGCATCATCTCAGCCAAGGTGTTGCAGTTTAGAACAGAGAATGCAATCATCTGGATGGGAGACACTATGACGTTCCGTCTTAAGGAGACAGGGATCGAAGTCATGTACACACCATTCCATCCTACTCTTCAGCTTTACTGCCCACAAGTCATGGGCATTGGCGATCAACACATCGATCAGGGTACACTTGCTTTACCTGTTGTTCCCACCATCATCTCCATTAACATCAATCTCCTTCATCGACGCCTTGCACATGCAGGATGGGATTCCATCCATAATCTTGCAAAGCAACTTGGCTACAAGCTTACTGGAGAACAACAGTTCTGTGAAACATGCCATCTTACAAAAGCACAACAGAAGATCTCTCACCAACCACAAGAGAAGACAACTGCAGTTGGAGATCTTATCCACTGTGATACAGTTGGCCCACTTACAAACACTGGACACCGTGGAGAGAAATACTTCATTCTTTTTACAGATGATTTTTCAGGATACCGATGGGGAGAAGCTTATAATAATAAGAGTGATGCCTTTCCTGCTTTGATTAAGTTCATCAACTTCTACCACAACCAGATGGGATCTCACATCAAGAGACTTCGCATTGACGGAGGAACAGAGTTCTCACAACAACAACTTCAAGAGGTTTGTCAGAAGTATGGAATCAAATATGAACCATCGGCTCCATACCACTCATATCAGAACGGCAAAGCCGAGACGGCGAACCATACTACGGAAGTCCGTCTCAGATCCATGATCCAAGGCAGTGGACTTCCATACAAGATATGGCCAGAAGCTTTCATAACAGCTCTCAAAAGCATGAACAGAACACCTACTCGCAAGAACGAAAATTCAAAGACACCACATCAAGTGCTTTCTGAGTTCTGCGAACAAACTCATATTCTCCCTAACATTGCTCACTGGCGTACATTTGGCTGTACAGCTTATGTTTACATACCAAAGCAAAAGAGAGTTCAAGGACAGAAGTTCCATGTCTGAGCTCAGAAGGGCAAACTCGTTGGCTACGAAGGTGATCACATTTATCGAATCTACATCCTCACGCAAAACAAAGTCATCCGCACCTCTCACGTCACATTTAATGAGAACGAAATCAATCCAGTGCACCCGCTTGCAACTTTCGACAGCGAGGATACAGATGACGAAGATGATTCTGGATATATTACTCTTAATGCTGACCACTTCCATCCAGATCTCCCTGTAGATTCGGGGGGTGTTCTTCCTCTTGATCTTCACACTCTAACATATGGGGGGGTGATTTCGCCTCAAGATTCTTCACCACCAGGATCAGACTGTGAATCTACTCATGAAGATCCTACTCCGCTTGCAAATCAAGAGATTCAACTCCCACAACTTGGTCGACAGACTCTTCTCGAGCAGGAATTTGAAGACATGTCTTTCATCGATCCACCTCCTACTCAACAGCAACAACTTGATCTACCTCAACCTGCCTTACACGAACACCGTCTCCATATTCAGGATCAACCTGTCTCCTCTTCCTCTCACTCAAAACGCAAAGTTAAACAGACAGAGAAAGGTCAGCAATATACTCAAGCTTTGCAACAACAAAAAGATAATCTTGCAAAGAAGCGTCAAAACCACGGACACGCTCTCTGTATTCTTCCACCTACAGTCGCATATTGCTTTGCTGCAGGAATGGATCATAAACCAAACATTCAAGATCTTCCTCTTGAACCACGCACTTGGAAAGAGGCTATGGCCCATCCTTTTAGTGAACAGTGGAAGCAAGCTACGGATAAGGAGATCTCTCAACACGTCAAAAATCACACTTGGACTCAAACTCTACATCATAAAGACCAACGTGTTCTCCCTGTGAAATGGGTATTCAAATACAAGGCTGATGCAGAAGGCAAATTAGCTTCTTGCAAAGCTCGTCTTGTTGTCCGTGGTGACAAACAGCGTCCGGGATTAGACTATCTCGAGACATATGCAGCTGTTGTACGTGCAGCCACCTTCAAACTCCTCATGGCCATTGTTACAATCTATGACCTCGAATGTATTCAGCTCGATGTTGTCTGTGCTTTTATTAATAGTCCCATCGACAACGATAATATCTACATTCGCCTTCCACCTGGATTTCAATCTACAGATGCACACGGCCGTGCCCTTGTTGCTCGTCTTCTTAAGGCTCTTTATGGACTTAAGCAAGCACCTCTTTTATGGCAACAAGAAATCACTACATTCCTCGTTTCTCTCGGATACCAGCCTCTTAATGCAGATCCTTGTGTCTTTCAACATCATAAGCACGGTGGAATCATCATCATCTACGTTGATGATATTATACTCATCCACCGCAACCTCCAAACTGTCACAGAGATGAAGCAACAGCTCTGCGATAAATACGAACTCCGTGACCTTGGTCCACTTAACCATTACCTCGGAATGAAAATCACCCGTGATCGCACTCGCAAAACCATGCACATTTCGCAGGAGACCTATATTCAGAAAATTCTCAAGCAGTACTATATGGAAGACTGCAAAGGAGCTTCTCACCCTATGCAGCCTGATGGCGTTCATCTTAAGCCTTTTACCGGTTCAATAGATGAGAATTTACGTCAGGAATACCAGAGTATGATCGGTGCTCTTGGCTATGCTGCAAATACTACACGCGCTGACATTGCTTTTGCAACTCATAAGCTCTGTCAATTCGCAAACAATCCAAGCCAGCAACATATGGATCACGCCTTACATGTCTTGCGATACCTTAAGAGCTTTCCAGACCTTGCAATTTGCTTTCAAGCTCCACAAACCACTCTTACCCTTGATCAATTTCAAGATGGTCGATTTGGTCCACCAGGACTTGATTTCGTGGGCTACAGCGATGCCGCATTTGCAGACAACTCCGACAACAGAGCAAGCTCTCATGCATATGTTTTCAAAGCTGCAGGTGGCATTGTAACATACAAAAGCGGTAAACAGACTCTTACCGCTACTTCATCAACAGAGGCTGAGTATATTGCCATGACCTACGCTGCCAAGGAGGCTGCCTGGATTCAACAATTGCTCACAGAGCTTAAATACTTCGGTCCTGACCTTCACCCTGTTGTCATTCATGGAGACAACAAACCAGCTATCTCACTCACTCAGCCTATTCAATTCCATGCACGTACGAAGCATATTGAAGTTTATTGGCACTACATCAGACAGCAAGTCGCAAAGGGAATGGTCAAATTGGAATACATTGCAACAGATGATATGGTTGCAGACGGTCTTACAAAGCCATTGTTTCCTGTCAAGCATGCACGTTTCATTCAACAGCTGGGTTTGGTCAAAATGACAGATATCGAGAATATCACAATGTAAAATAGTACAATGCAATACAGAGGCACGTCTTATGCGTCCTGGGGGGTGTGAGGAACTCTGGAGGTTCTGGGTATTGAGCCCGCACGACGTGGTTGAGTGAACTCGACTAGCGAGCACCTCCACACGTAGAGATTCCATAGAGCAGCTCTCTTGCCTCAATTAATCAACATCACATACATCAATGCACTGTCACAAGTAATCCGGGTTATCCATGACTCTTAGATGTCTTGTGTAGGCTCTTGACTGCAGAGTCGAGTACATGACCCAAGAGTCTGCATTAATATGGGGACGAGGTGGAACGATTCCCCCCACATTGAGGATTTGCCCTGGTGCCGAGTCAAATGTGAGGGGGCTGGAGATAATACGTTAAGATGAACGCTCCGCTGCCCGTGGGATTAGGGCCTAATCCGTATTCATAAGTTATGATATATTGGCCGTTGGGCAGAGCTGCGACGGTCGGCATTCTAGGGCGATGTTCATAGGTCGAGTATGCAATATCGTTGACCACGGGGCCCCAGGTCACACCATCGGCGCTGACTTCGTGGACAATCTTTTGGCCATATGCTGGGTCGCGCTGGTCGGAGTAGTACATGACAAGCTGGTTGTCGTAGACCATCATGAATGGCTCCCATATTGGGGTCTCGCCATTGTTCGACAAGGCAACTCCCCCAGAAGCGACAGTAGAGAGAAATGACCATGTCTTTCCGCCGTTCACGGATGGATAGACATCGATCTTGGTCTGACTAAGATCCGTAGGGATAGAATACGCCGAACAAATAACTGTTCCCTTGCCGATTGCCTGTGGGAGGAGATACAGATCCGGCTGGTAGCGCAGCCCCCAGCCGTTCACCAGGTCAGTGACAGTAGAGAAAGGAGCCCAGGTCTCGCCCTTTATCAGTACTTTTGTATATAGGGAAGTAGACCAAAGGCGGTTCGGGGGAGTAGTTTTCCCTTGAAAAAAACGTGTCAGTCAAGCTCAACGCTGGATTCATACTGGAAAAAAGCCAATGATACTTACCATGTTGCCAGAAGAATCCCATCCTCCAGTTGAACTGTGCACCCATAAAGAGTTTTTGGAGTATTGTAGTTCGTTGGTGGGACATAGATTGTTTTAAAGGTCACCTCGTAGTCTGCAACCTCACACTCTTTGGCAGGAGGTTGGTTTGCCAGTGCATCTTGTTGTTTATTTCTGGGTTCCCCGCGAATTACCCCCTCAGCTTTTGTTTCCCCTCTGTCTATCGTTCAAGCATTGGTTGTGATTGGTGCGTAAGTTCAAGAAGATCTGCTATAGCTACAGGATGCTGCATGCCCCTCATATAGCTCCGTGAAAGGTTTCGCCGCAACCCACCGCTGGAGTATTTAAAGATTTAGCCCTGGACTGGTAGATTTTCTCCGGCCAGTCATGCCATCATATTTGATCGTTTGCCCGGCGCCCATTTTTGGCCCTAAACCTTGTGGCTTCAAGCGGGCTATTGGCCATCAGTTATATTTACGTCCTGGGTGTTGTATTAATCCAACTTCGTATTAGCCCGACCACTTGTCATTATCCGGATGCTGTTGTTGATCGTGTCGTTGAAAAGGCCAAGAAAGGGACCATGCATGTGATTAGGCTGCGCACTGGGTACTCACGAGTCGAGTAGTAGAATTTTTCTCACCCAGCTGAGTTACTCACTCATGTCCCGAGTATTGTTGAATGAGGATTACTCACTTTCTGAGTACCTAGTATGGGTCTTGGCAACTCAGTTATATCACATGTTTGATTAGCCATTACTTATGTTAAAAATGGGGCGCGACTTCATTGATCAAGATGCCATAACTCCATAACTCCATTCCCATATTGTTGATGTCCTATTCCACACTATAACCTTTGGCCTTTAGGTACCAGGTTACCAGAAGGTTGCCAGAACTCATCTGACCTTCATTCCTGGATGAGAGACATCTCCATCGATTAAGCCCACAGCTCCATGATTAAACATCATATCCTGCAAACGCCGAACCAATATCATATCCTTTGTCTGAATTGTCACTCTCTTCGCATGAATAGCGATGAGGTTTGCCACTATAACTGTTAGTATGTCCCTGTCACTATGTTTAAACATCATATTCTCAAATTCTCGAATGAGGAAGCATTCAGCAGCTTCCTGAAGAACTAGGATAGCAGATTGCTGGAAGCAAAGATTGGACTTGAAGTCTTCTGTGATTTCCCTAACAAGATGCTGGAATGGAGCTGGATTCCAAGCCGATTTGAATAAATGCGAGTTCAACGTCACCAGGACAAAATACTTGGGTTATGTTCTCACTACCTCCGGTGTCGAAGCGGACCCTGACACAATTGAACCCCTTCGTAACTGGATCCAACCGACCACTGTTACGGGTGTGAAGTCCTACCTGGGATTCTGTGGCTTCTATAGACAATTCATTCGCAACTTTGGCAAAATAGCAAAGCCCCTCACCACCATCACTAGTCCCTCGGAGCCGTTCCGATGGACAGACGAATGCGAGGCTGCTTTTGAGGAATTGCGCTGGCAACTCCTAGCAGTACAGGCACTTCACCACTTCAACCCCGAATTGCCTACGAAGCTGGAGACAGATTCCTCCGATGGAGTCGTAGCTGGTATCCTCTCTCAAGAACACCCTGACAAGCGGTGGTACCCCGTAAGCTTCTACAGTCATGTCCTATTCGGACATGAGATCAATTTGGAGATCCACGACAAGGAACTATTCGCAATAGTAAAGGCCTTCGGAAAATGGAGGCCCGAGTTGGCTTCGGTGCGCCACCGAGTTGACGTGTACACTGACCACCGTTCGCTGGAATATTTCATGTCTACCAAGGTTCTCACCGCGAAGCAGGTTCGATGGATGGAGCTACTCTCTGACTTCAACTTCTGCATTACGTACACCGCGGGCAAAAATAACCAGAAGGCTGATATTCTGAGCCGAAGAGACCAGGACTTGGTAACGCAGCAGAAAGTCAAACTTGATAGTAGGGCGAGGGTATTGTTAGGTCCAAGCCGCCTACACCCCCGAATCAGCACCGAACTCGCCGAGAGCTACATAGCATCCATTAATTCGATGGACACCCCCAAGCCCCAGGTGCCCTTCAATTTAATAGAGGCGCTATGTGCGGACAATCGGAAGTCGTTCACCGAGACTCACGCGAAACAACCCCTACCGGACGGATTCGTGATGAATGACCAGCTCCTCCTGTACAAAGGCCGCCTATGTGTGAATCGCCACACTGACCTATGTATGAAACTGATCCGGGAAGCGCACGATCAAGTGTCGTCAGCACATCCAAGTGGCAGGAAAACCTACCAATTGCTCGCCCCAAAGTATCATTGGGTCGGGATGGAAGCGGACTGTTTGCGGTATGTACGAAACTGCGTGACATGCCGGCTTTCTCACACCAATGTCACTAAGCAACAAGGATTTCTACACCCACTACCCGTACCCGAATACCCTATGCAACACCTCACCATTGTCACAGTTCACCAAGGCATAGGGCGCCAGTTGGGTATTATGAATTCACTCCACAACTGAAAACTTCGCTCCAACCCCGGAAAGCTCCCCACACCCCTGAACCCCCACTCGAGCTGCAAGGCGCACTTGATATCGTAACACTACCCCCCCCCAACTCCAGAGTTGATCTCCTGATCAAGAAATCCCATTTTCAAAAAAAAACAATTGTCTCCAGCTCTCATTTTGGTTTCTGAGGGTATTTTCTGTGATATGCTTGGGTAACTTCTGGAGAATTTTCAAAGCTCTCTGCAGTATACCATGTCTCATCCGGTGGATAGTTCTTCCAAGCTGCCTTGTAGAAAAGCTTCTTTCGAATAACTTTTGAGTCGAGGATTTCGTCCACTTCCCACTCCTCTTCGCCATTGACAATGACTGGAGGCTCTGGCTCCTGTTGCTGCCCTTCGATTGCATCATTCGAGTCAAGTCTTAATAGATTGGCATGAAATACTGGATGAATCTTCATGCTGTTTGGAAGTTTGAGCCGATATGCAACTTGCCCAATTCGCTCTAGAATTTCAAAAGGTCCCACTTGCTTGTGGTCTAGCTTCTTTGATGGCCTCTGTGTCTTTATATTTCGAGTTGAAAGCCATACTCTGTCTCCCACTTGATAGCGTGGTGCAGGTTTCCTTTTCTTGTTCGCGAAATGTTCCATTTTTGCTTGCGAGAGCGTGATTTCATCCTGCAGAAACTCCCAAACCTTTGCCATGGTCTGAGCTATGTTCTTGTGCTCTTGTTTGGCTTCGTGATTAGTAGACCTATAGGATAGCATCCGTTTAGCCTCCGACTCGCACTCTCATATGCTATTACTGTGAGCTGGGTGCCCTGTGTCCTTACATTCGTGCTCAACTCAATATAGCATTCTTTACAATACTGTAACGTGTTACTTGGAAAGCCTTTGTGTCTAATCCCCTGCCTCCTCTGTCAAGTCAACCTTACGCAAGAAACCTCTGTGTCTTCTATTGTTTAGAATCAGCATTACTGTAATGGTGGGTGCACCAGATGTGAGAATCTAGCCACGCAAGGAAGGGATGAATTTACTAAGACAACACACTGTCTTAGGAAACAGAGCTAAAGGGTTGTAGCTTAGACTATTCCACAATGCAGCAATCAGGTGTGTGATGTAGTGAAGTGGTTCAGACAAGTTGCAACAAATGTTGAGTCTGGGAACTCAAGGGTAAGTCAGAGGTTAACACCTCACTGACTTTTCAGAAACAAGGAGTAACAAGATGAATGCTTGGAAGCTTGGAAAAGACGTGGAAGTATGTTATAGTCGATTTACTGTATTGTCTGCTTGCCCTTTCTTAAGGAAAGGGCAATCCTATTTATGCTAAAGGAGTGTAGTTCTCTCATTTTCCAAGACTTTCCATGACTAATCAGGCTTGGTAACTGTAGTCGATGTAAGAGAATCCCATAGAACCATCTCCTAGGTTCCTAGCCTATAGGAAGTGAAAGGAGGTCCAAGGTCAGAGTACCCCTATAGACAAATTATGTCATAACTTAACCAATCTTGTGGGTAACTAAAGAGCGATGACGTGTAATGAATCATAGACGGTTGTAGAAGCTTTTGGAGCTATCGTTCATGTTCCTAGGCCTCTAGTTGATAGAGATATGTCATGTGTAGTATTAGCCCAGTAACTAAGGAGTGATGTCATGTAATGAATCATAGAGGGTTGTAGAGATATGCTATGTGGTCATATCGGCCCAGTAAGTAAGGAGCAATGACGTGTAATGAATCATAGAGGGTTGTAGCAATCGTTGAGTAGTATTGCTCTAGTTGTTGGTGTGACAAGCCAAAATATGTATAGTGACTTGTAGGTTTGAGGAGGAGATTTCTAAGTTTGCTCTTGAGTTTGATAGCAAACTGAGTGCAACGAATGTCAGTATGACAATTACATATTAATCATATGAGGGACTGTTCACATGATGCATAAATCTTACACGTGATAGCCGAGTACTCACTGGGTTTTTACAGAGTAACTGAGTATTGACGTCACTCACTGAGTCGAGTAAAAGGTTCAGCTACTCACCCAGCTGAGTAACCCACTGAGCGAGTGAGCTGAGTATTGAGCGAGTAGTGCGCAGCCTACATGTGATATTCCCTTCTTTTGCCCAATTCGTAAGAAACTCGCCAATACAACAGCTGTAGTATGATAATCCAACCCAAGATTATCAATAGCCTATATTTTATTCATAATTGCTGTAAACTCTGAAAGCGATGACGAGTTTCTCCGAGCTCCTGTTGCGAGGGTCCCTGGACTTTGAGCCGTTCAGGCAGCTTATGAACATTGACAACTGTCAGCCTCGCCAAGCTACAGCCTCGCCCCACCTAGAAAATTATAATTTTGAGTCAACAACGCGTCATTGGAGCCCAATACAGCACTCTCAGAACCCCGCCTCTTAGTTTGCTTGAAGTTATCCGAAAGTTACAGTACAAGACGAAAGATGCTCACTGCTGCGACTGTCTTTGCCCTTCGAATCCGTGGACCGGGCACTAATCCCTAGATGCTCAACCTCTGGCCGCACAGGTACCTATTGTCAAATTCATCGAGTATATACTTTCGCTCAAGAACGCAAATCACATATTCCCTTCGCCATCACAGTGCAATGCATTCTCAAGCCACCATGGATCGATCTCACCAAAGCGAGTCTGCCTCAAGTGGAAGCTCAATAAACCGCGTGCAAAGTGAACCAAGTGACAAACCAGTTGGGTGTGGAGAGACAAAGGTTCTCAAGGTCGGCCCGCATAAATTCGGGGAGTTTCTACAGACGGCCAATATAAGATCAAGTCTCAAAACATGGACAGTGGATAGCGACAACTCCGAGACCATGCGGCACATGGAGACTGCGGCAAAGGCTATACGTGATGGTAATTATCCAGTTGCCTTCCCAACAGAAACAGTATACGGCCTGGGCGCAAACGCAAGAGACAGCAGAGCAGTTCAAGGGATATACAAAGCGAAAGGCAGGCCGTCAGATAATCCTCTAATTGTCCATATATCCGACCTCGACATGTACACAGAGATGGCGAAGGGCTTGACAATATCACGAGAGACGAGCCTTTATGTGGCTCGCTACAACGAGCTGGTAAATAAGTTCTGGCCCGGTCCGCTCACTCTACTTTTCCCGAAACCGCCGAATTACCTCGCCCCCGAAGTCACTGCTGGACTGGACACGGTTGGCCTACGTATGCCCGATTCTGCTCTTGCGCGGACCCTGATCAAGTTATCTGGCGTCCCGGTCGCAGCTCCATCAGCAAACTCGTCGACGAAGCCGTCCCCGACTACTGCGAAGCACGTATTACACGACTTGAACGGGAAGATCCAGTATATCTTGGATGGTGGGCCTTGCAATATTGGTGTCGAGAGCACAGTCATTGATGGGCTTCGAGATCCACCACTTATTCTTCGCCCCGGCGGAGTCGGCATCGATGATATCAGGGAGTGTTCTGGTTGGGAGAACGTGCAAAAAGGCTATAAAGATGAGAGTGAAATCGGAGGGTCTGCGCCCCGTGCTCCTGGTATGAAGTATAAACATTATAGCCCGAACGCCACCGTTATATTGTGCGAAGACGGGTTTTCCCCAACTCCACAATCAACACCCGGCATGAAGTTTCTTCATCTCGACCACAGAAAGAGAGCCGGTGGCAAACAGGAGCTAGGAAAAGTTGAACTCATTGCAGAGGCTCCATCCACTAATCTCAACGTTGGCATACTACGTACCAAGCACTGGAATAAATGGCTAGGTTGGGAAAGAAATTCGAGTGGAGAAGCCACCAAAGTTCTAGAGCACTGTAGGAACGAGACGGCCACAATCGATGGTTTGGCGGAATTGGACTACTCCACAGCCAATCTCTTTAACTGCGATGGTGCAAACTCTTTCTGTATCAAACTTGTCGACTTTCATCTCGGCCGCGATACCCAAACCATAGCAAGTGGATTGTTTGCGGCGCTCAGGGAGATGGACAAGCGCGGCGTGGATGTTATCTTTGTTGAAGGGATCGAAGAAGATGGCGGCGGTATCGCAGCGGCGGTTATGAATCGGGCGAGGAAAGCTGCGTCGGAGCGACGGGGGCACAGCGATGACGGCATAACGAAACATATTTATTGATTATAATACATCTGAAGATGCTCGCATGGACATGATGGAGGATACGGCGTTGATTACATGCGGCTCATATTCTTGTTTTTAGGAAGCCTCATTTACACCTATGGGTGCTGGCGTTTTGAATATTTATAGATGATATCACCCCTCAAATATAATTGAGAGCCAAGTTTACAGAATTGCAATGTTAGCCACTGTCTAACTACAGGCCTGCCTGGAATTAAAACCATGAGCAAAATCCAACATTATCACGTTTCACACCATCGGCTTCTTAACTGGGGCCATCAAAGATACGGTATCGAGTCTTAAATTCCACCAAAACGCCCCCATTTTCCAGTCTGGCTCCATGGTCGTGATAGAGCTCTCATGCGCTATCGTCTATGGCACTCTCTATGCTGCAATACGGCCAGTTGTACCGAGGTTCACCTTTCATCTGAAATCATGTTCGCATCTTGACACCCATTACAGGCCTTGCCTTAACCAATCCCCCAGCTTAGCCTTTCCGAACTGTGCCAGGTTATTCATGCCCTGCTCGCTGAGATCAATGCCCTTCAACTGCGCGACGTCTTGCGCCGGCGCCCTGCTGACACGGGTCGTGATGATAAGGGGATCGGTCTCGAGGATGATTCCGTCGTCAACAATCTCATCGATCGCGAGGGACACCAGGTCGTAGTTCTCGATGATTGTACGCTTGTCGACAGATTGCCTGGGGGAGTTAGCTGGGGACACGCGAGGGGTAGGTGGGGATTCATACTTGAATAGCAAGTGTAGTGAGTCGCGGAGGGCCAAGACGACATTGTAGAGCATGATCTCATTCTCCTCCATTCCTCCCACTACGTACATCATAATATCCGACTCGCACTTGTACAAGACTATTCTATTGTCGTATAATATGATATCGGCTGTCTGCTTAGCTGTCTTCTCCAGGAGGCCCTTCTCGAATGCTTTTTGGGCCTTCACGTCCGGGTATGGATTGGTCGACGGCGACACAGCTGTGATATAATTAGAAAACGTTTCGCAAGTTGGTTATAAGATGCTCTGGAGAGCAGTCTATCGGATTACGCACATTGGCCATGTGAAGCTGCGGTTGGATGAGGGGCATTGAAGTACTTGGCGAAAATGCGGTTTCCGTCCTCGGTCCCGAGGATAATTATCGCCTGGACAGAAAAGAGAGACATATTGGGCGCCATCGTGTCAGAGGTTTTGCGAAGCCAGAAGTAAAAAACAGGGCGAGTGAGGCGTTATAGCAGCTGGCAGCTTGGTATTGCGGCTCTTTGGGCAGTTGAGGCCCGTGTTTCTGTAATCTGGCACCGTCAAAGGTACGCTAAGCTACAAATGGATGGATCCACCATAGGCTCGTTTGGGGAGCGCTAATGCAAGCTCTCTACGCGTCCAAACGCGACCCTTTTCGCGACGCGTCTTATTTCCCCCCATCACTCCTTGGCCTCGACTCCAGTTCATCTCCAAACATCGACACAGGACTCTTTTCATTGGCAACAACGCCGATATAAACAAAAGTAATTATCGCAATGTCGTCACCCGCAAAACGACGACAAAAGGCCTCCGCCTCTGGAACTCCGAAACGCTCATCACAACGGACTTCCCAGGCCCCTCTCAGTAGCCCTCCAGACCCGTCTGCCGCGCAATTGCTTGGTGAAGCTGCCTCTTCCTCCCAGGCCAGCCGTGGCCATGGTACTCCTAGACTCCAGACAAAGTCATCATCGCCCATGAATTTCCAATCCTCACCGGTCGCTGGGCGACAGGATGCCGCTTCCCCCTTCAGTCGCTTCAGTCGGGGAACTCCAGATATTGCTATGACAGATGGCGACCGCACCCCTCGGGCCAGTGAACAACTAATGAGGGGTGAGTGGTTTTTGATGTGTTTTGATCTCATTGTCTAACGGAACTAGATTCGTCTCCTATTCGATATGCTTCAACGTCTAGTCCTGGCCGAGATTTGCGCCAACAATCCGATGCCCCAACAGAGAGCAGTGGACTCTTTCTTCGCTCTACGCAGTCCATACCGCCAAGTAGCTCCGGTTTGAATAGGTCTAGCCGCGGTGATATTAATCCCGACCGTAGCGCAGCTTCTGGAGTTCGAAAGCGTATTTTCCTCGATGAGAATGGGAATGTCGTCCGCAATGTTCCTGACGGGTCAGATGCTCCGACATTCTCAAATAACGATCCTACAACTTCAGATGCCGACGCTCTTGGAGGGGGTTCCGGCAATATCTATAACACCGTCTGGGGCACAAATATCTCCGTCATTGATGCTTCAAAAACATTCGAAGGTTTCTTGCGTAATTTCACCAAGAAGTATCGAATGTGGGCGGACGGCATGACTGTAGCAGAAACTCAGGAGGACGAAACATCGGAATCGAAAGTATACATGGACAAGATGAAAGACCTCCTGGAGCTTGCCCACTCCAGTCTACACATTGATTTTAAAGATCTCAAGGCATACCCCCCTACCCTCAAGCTTCATCATCAGACCCAGGCCTATCCACAAGAAATGATTCCATTGATGGATCAAGTTGTTCACAATATCATGGTACAGCTTGCAGAGGAAGAAGTGAAGAGAGAGAGAGCCGCAGAGTCTCAAAGCACGAACGGCCTATCCCAAACGCACCAGATTCCCAGCTCCGACATGCCTATTCCAAGCTCTGACAGAGGTGACATGGAGCTAACGCCAGGACCAACGCAACCAACCCAACTAAGAAAGAAACGCGATATTTTAGCTGAGGTGGACGAAGCAAAATATAAAGTTCGCCTCTTTGGAATTGAATCCACTATCAATCTCAGAGATCTCGACCCCTCTGGTAGGTCTATGACTACTTTCACCTGATGATTGCCGCTGACCTCTTTTAGATATGGATAAGATGATCTCGATCAAAGGTCTTGTCATCCGCACGACACCAATCATCCCTGACATGGCAGAGGCCTTTTTCCGTTGCCAAGCATGCAACCATACAGTTACGGTAGAAATCGAGCGTGGCAAGATTGCAGAGCCTACTCAATGCCCTCGGACAGTCTGTAAATCTCCAAACTCGATGCAGATTGTGCACAACAGGTCAAACTTTTGTAACAAGCAAGTTATCAAGCTTCAAGAGACCCCCGATTCGGTCCCGGCTGGTCAGACGCCGCATTCCGTTTCTCTCTGCGCATACGATGACCTCGTTGATCTCTGCAAGGCTGGTGACCGAGTCGAAATCACTGGTATCTTCCGATGCAATCCGGTTCGGGTAAACCCCGCACAGCGCACGCTAAAGAATGTGTTCAAGACTTACGTGGATGTCCTCCACATCCAAAAGGTAGACAAGAAACGCATGGGCATCGATGTGTCTACTGTTGAAGGCGATGCCAATGCAGATGGTGACGTCGAGGGGAAGCGAAAAATTTCAGACGAGGATATCGAAAAGATCAAGGTCACTGCTGCTAGACCTGACATTTACGATCTTTTGTCCCGCTCTCTTGCGCCAAGTATTTTTGAGATGGATGATGTAAAGAAGGGAATACTTCTGCAACTTTTCGGTGGCACAAACAAATCGTTCGAGAAAGGAGGTAGCCCGAAATACCGCGGCGATATCAATATCCTTCTGTGTGGCGATCCGTCGACGTCCAAGTCTCAAATTCTTAAATATGTACACCAAATCGCTCCTCGAGGTGTCTACACCAGTGGAAAGGGCTCTTCTGCCGTTGGTTTGACAGCCTATGTCACTCGTGACCAGGAGACGAAGCAGCTTGTTCTCGAGTCTGGTGCTCTAGTCCTCTCCGATGGAGGCGTCTGCTGCATTGACGAATTTGACAAGATGTCTGAGTCTACTCGCTCGGTGCTGCACGAAGTCATGGAGCAACAGACAGTTTCCATCGCAAAGGCTGGCATCATCACCACACTGAACGCTAGAACCAGTATTCTTGCCTCTGCCAATCCTATCGGTAGCAAGTATAACCCCAATCTTCCTGTCCCTCAAAATATCGACCTCCCGCCTACTCTTCTATCCCGTTTTGATCTCGTATATCTCATTCTTGACCGAATCGACGAGACCAATGATAGGAGGCTAGCGAGGCATTTACTCGGCATGTACTTGGAAGATACGCCACAAAGTGCTGGGAATATGGAGATTCTTGTAAGTCACATCCTGTAGTTATTTTGTACTGTACTAACAGACAACTAGCCAATCGAGTTTCTCACGTCCTACATTTCTTATGCCCGCAACGTATGCCAGCCACGCATCACTGAAGAGGCTTCAAAGGAGCTTGTAAAGGCCTACGTCGACATGCGCAAGCTGGGCGAAGATGTCCGCTCCGCAGAACGCCGCATCACCGCGACGACAAGACAGCTGGAATCAATGATCCGTCTCTCTGAGGCCCATGCTAAGATGCGTCTCTCACCGGAAGTCACGCGCGACGATGTCCTCGAAGCTGTCCGTTTAATCAAATCGGCCCTGAAGCAGGCTGCTACGGATGCACGAACTGGACTTATTGACATGAGCTTGCTCACCGAGGGAACAAGCGCTAGTGAGAGGAGGAGAAGGGCTGATTTGAAGAATGCTCTGCTCCTCTTATTAGACAACATGGTTAGGCAAGGTCAAGCCGCTCGGTACAGCGAGGTTCAGAAAAGACTCAACGAGGAAAGTAGCATCCCGGTTGAGGCTCCGGAGTTTTCAGATACCATAAGATTACTTGAGCAGGAGGGTTCCATAATGGTGGTTGGTGAAGGGCCAAGAAAGAGCATCAGGAGGGTTGCGGGGGCTTAGATATTGGCAAAGTGCATTGTGCTATGAGGTGGCGTTTGGGTTGGGTATGATGAACGACGTGATTGTGTTGGAATTATATATTCCGAGTTATGGTGTGCATGATATTAGACGGTAGCTGTCTGGGATGAAATGGAATGTCGGGGGTAAGGCGACGGCACGGGAAGCTGGGTTGATGAATGCTAAACTAGAGCTCCATATGAGCCAAGACAGAAATCTATATGATGTTAAGACATGTGTCCAGGAGGGTTTGGAATTGAGTTGCCTCGTCAAACGCGGCTTTAACTCGCATCAAAGGGCTGAAACCTGAACGATCCATGGGCCAACATCGACTATTTTCATGTTCTGTTCAGTTTGATCGGCGGAGCTTTCCCCAGCTTTCCCGTGCCATCTGACGCTGATTCTCGGGAAGATTCGAACCGTGGAACTATTTGGCTTTTAGTCATAATAACTGTTATATGTTTCGGATTTACGATGGATGCGAAGTTGCTGGCCCACAGACAATTTCATCGCAGAGGACGATTTGAAGAAAGGACACCGTCCGTCGAGACAATTCTCTACGAGTTTCGAGTTTACAACACTGCTATCAGACTTCAAAATTTTAATATGAAAATAATAAATCCTCTGATCCTTCATATCTTTGACCGTCACTAGAAATCAATCTGCTCTCAATCTACATTGACAGCCCTCAACTGCATACAATAGAAGATTCGGGCCGGCCTCCGTCACTAACCCATGCCACTCTCCCATATTACCCAACACAGAACTTAACTCATGCACCTATTGCATGACATGTACGACCCCTTCAAGCCGGGATCCGAGAAAGGAAGGAAGCTTGGACATCGCCGAGTTCACCATGCCTTCCCTAGTCGCGCCTGACTTGGCGGGCACTTTCATGTCTTCATCTTTGACTGTCGTTACGCATTGTTCTCTTTGAAGTGCCTTCAATTGGCGCGAGTGAAGCTTCTGAGTCGCTATGTTGATGCCCTTGACTCTTTCCGTGGCGCTGGCTGCGCTCATGCTCGCTGCCACCGCACACGGCGATAACTTTACAATTATCAATGGCCAAATCTTTACACCAGGACTGGCGAACGCGCCCCAGCCCAACACGCCGCTCGGTGGTGGTAAGTTCTCCATTGCCTTCACTTGGAATAATATCCCATTCATCGCTCCCATCCTCTCTCATATCACGCCCTCACTATACATGCTACTGCCCAACTAACCCCCCCCAGAAATCCTCCAAGTCGCCATCGACGTCTCTGGCAACGGCAAGCTCGGCCTCCCCCCATATAAAGACTCCGCCCCCAGCCAACTCCACGCCATAACCATCTTCCTCTCCTCCTACACCACCGGTCTAAACTCACCATCGCCTCCTCCAACAGCGAAGATGGCGTCGTCATGACCCAGGAGCCCGGCAGCACAGTCAAGCACGTGAACTGGCTGTGGCCCGCCTATCTTTCCGGCGACAGACAGCCCAAGACGCAATGGCTCGTGCGCCAGGGGGGGCCCGAGGGGCGCGTATAATGTCTCGATTCACCAGAGCTTCAGCTTAATGATACGGAGCTCTATACTGTTTTTAACTTGCCTATTGCGGTCACGAATAGGATTTCGGAGAGCGCGAATCAGTCGTCTTGTGAATCCGCTGGTGGGGTGGGAGAAGGTCGTGGAGTCGACGGTGGTGTTGACGCCGAATCAGTATCCGTGGACGGATGGGAGTGGGGTGCAGGTTTCTGTGCCTAGTGGTGATGGGGGTGGGAGCAACAGTGGTGGGAGCGATAAGGGTGATGGAATTGGTGGGAGCAGGCCCGATGCCAATGCGGGTGATGGGCTTGGAGGGGGTGCGGGGATGGTGGCTATGGATGAGAGGTTGACTGTTTTGGCGGTTATTTTCGCCTTGGGCTTGGTTGCTATGTAGAAGTAATATTTCTCAAGAGTTAGTTGTAATTAATTATATGGTAATCTTACATGGAAGGGAGAGCTGTTACAGTGCCCTGCATCACAGTATCATAAGTCATATTGCATCTGTCACAATCACAAATATGAACGAATGTGAAACCCACCTTCTTAATCAATGCAATTCTCATAACATTTAAAGTTCCTTCTCAAGGAACCCACCGCAGGATTATACTATCCATTCCACCTCATATGCCCCTCATGCGTGAACACATGCAAACTCCCCAACACCCCTTTTAAAAAAAATTGGAATCTTCGCATCTCGATAACCACCCACCATAAACGCCGTTTCCAGCGATGAGCAACTAAGGAATAGATACACATACGCCCAAATCCCAGAACGCCTCCTCCCTCCACGGTACTCCCGAACGAAGACAAGATTGGTGCATTTGGAGTCGATTTTCCGTCTTCCATAGTCGCCGTAAGAAATGAACCCTCCCTGGAAGTAGCCATTTACGCATCAACAGAAACGAGTCCCCTCGCCTGCTCCAGGATCTGATCCATATCCCCCAGCTCCTCGGCGATCTCGCCACCAGCCTCCCTCTCCGCCCAGCTGCCCCAAAGACCACGCTTGCCTCTCACGCGTATCGGTCCTCCGAGCTCGCCTTGCGTCTGCTCCACCTTGACCGCGTCCTTAGTAGCGAGCACCAGGACCTCGAAGAACATCTTCGTCGCGTCCGCCTTGCTCGTGCCACGTTCCGGGAGCAGGTCTTGGAACATCACGCTGGCCTTCTTGCGCTTCTCTGGGCTGTTGGCGGCCTCAGCTCCGAAACGGTCGCGGAGCAGATGCACAGCGTGGGTGGTACCTAGGGAGACTGGTCCAGAGTCGGTGGGGTGGACGAGTGGGGCTCTGGTCTCGTCGAAGTTGTGCTCGGGGTTCTCGCTGCCGTCTCTTTCGCGTTCGCTACCGCGGGAGTCTGGGCGTCCGAAATTGTTGTCATCATCATTCATTGGGACGAATCCATCATCGGCGGGGATCTCAAGGATCGTACCGTTCGCTTGTGACTCAGCGCCGAATCCGGCCGCAGCGCTGATGTTGCCGAAGGCATCTTCCTCGCCGAGATCAAGGTCTAGCTGAAGGCGCGGCGACTTGGCAGCATGTTCGTCCTCATCGCCGGACATATCTGCAATGCCGCTGTCACGCTTGCGCTTCTGGGCTCGGGAAGATAGTATGGCGTCGAGGGAGAGGATGCCGCGGAGCTCGGGTGCCCAGCCGGAAGATCGGCCGTCTCTCAGGATGTTGCTGACGAAGCCGCCGTTGCGCTGCATCTCCACCAAGGCAAAGAGCGTAGGATCTCTTGGTAGGAAGGACTCAGGACGCAGGATCTTAGATCGATCTTGTTGCTGGGCCTTGATAACTGCTGAAGGGATAATGGTGTCCTCGTCGGGCTTGAGGAGCTTGAGCTTTCGGGCGCGTTGGGCGGGTTCCCTGAAAATAGATGTGTCTGTCTCTTCGATAGGCTCAAAAAGAGCAGATTCTTCGTTGCGCGCATGTTCTTCTAGTATCTCACGCTCCTGTTCGGGGTCGATATCAGAGAGCGGTGACTCTGAAATGCGTCCACGGTCAGGAAGGCCGGTCATGTGAAGACTCTCATCACCGAGGGGGAAGTTGTTTGCATCGCCCATGTTGATATCCCCATCATCGCCTTGGAAGTGAAATCCATCGTCGTCTCCGGCTATGCTGACTTGAACGGATTGCTGTCGGTCACGGCCGAGAAGGGTAGTATCTTTGCCGAAGATATCAAGTTGGGTGTCTCCGATATCATCACCGAGTTCGCGTGCTGCAGGTGCGTCTCGGCCCATTTCAAGGCTTCCGTCAGCGCGTAGATCGATGTCCTCTCCAAAATCTAGGTCCAGCTCGAGGTCATCCGCCATGATAACTTCATCGTCTGGGTATTTCTGTGATTCGACCATGCTATTTTGGAGGTATTGGCTTTGGTTGAAATCTTCATGTAGGTTGATATCGCGGCTTCCTGCGCGGCGTTTGCGTGGTGTATTCAGAGTGTCATCCTCCATTTGCGATAATAAGAAGGATGCATCTGGCAGCGGTGGCATCTCGAGGTTATCACCTTCAGTCAAAACATCAGGAAGCAGAAGAGTGTCGCGTGATGGCATGTGAAGTCCAGCGGGTATATCATTGTTACTGGAGATTCTGAATGCCTAGGAGGTGTCAGTAGATGTGGTTTAGATAACTTGAGGTAACAAAACATACCATCTTAATCTTCATTAATGCCTCATTACAGTCATCGAGAAGATAGCGCGCCTTCCTGCTGTAAATTCGCACCACGCCGAGAAGAAGCTGGCCGCTGAGACGCAATGCCATTGGCGCTTGGCCAGGGTTAACGATGGCATCGACGCTGTCCTTGACGCTTGATTGCAGAATGTGTGTTTTGGAAAGTTTGCGTTCAAGGTTGGCCGACAGCCAGACGCGAGCCAGAGGCCCCGTCTTGGACAGGAGAGCCTCCGAATAAAACATTTATGTTGTCGGTATATGCTATGAGCTATAGATGTCTTGAGCAATGGCTGGTAGCACCCTCGGGATGTCGGGATGATATGTGGAGTGGGCTAGACGCGACAGTTTGTTGTTTTCATTTGCAGCGCGTCGCGAGCGATGACGGATCCCAGCAAGCGACAAGTGCAACGGGCAGTCGCGACGAAGATGGTAATGCGATTGTTCGGGCTCTCTTTGTTATATATTGTATGCGACGACAGGTCTAGCAATAGCAAGAGTCGCAAGTATTGTTGGTGTTGATGTGGTTGGCGGTATGGAGGTGCGGGTGGTTTGGTGGTTTGGTGGGTTGGTGGTGCAATGAGAAGTGGCTGGGCGTAAATCATAGGCTAGCCGAATATGGCACTATTATAGAACTATTTCCTTATTTGTTATTTTCAATCGTCACTGTGCATGGCCTCACTTGCTGTGTATTGTTTAACATATCCTTATATTTACTTTGATTTTTGATTTTCTACCTACATAACCCCGTTGTTGTGTTCTGTTTTCGCTTTCTTCTTATAGAAGCCAGGACCTACCCAACTAAGCAACAACCCCCTCCCCCGCCCCCCTTGGCTGGCAGTCACGTTCGAAGCGGATCTCATTCTCCATCCATGATCCCCATGTCCATGTCGGTCTCTGATCGTCAGAACGACAAAGCTCCAAGTACTCCGTATTGTTTAGAAATTGTTGCAGTTGGCCACGTACCCTGCTCATGAGCCCATGCCCACGATCACCTTCACACGACGACGTCAAATCCATACCCGGACATACTGGGACTGTAATTGATGTAGCAACAACATCATCCATTGACGACCCCCTCAATCCACCCAAACGTTCTCCGCCACTCTGTCCCTCTCGGTCCTCATACGACTAAGGTGTCGCATGTCTTAGCACAAGGCTGTGGGCAACGACAGCAAGGCCTTGCTGGTCGCGCAAAAGAAGAAGCATTTCTGGGTCATAGAAGATGTCCTGGGCACGACTACAGCCATCTGGGAGTCCAGGGGCGCCTCTGCTCCCTCTCCAGAACCTCCCTATTATAAAGACGGAGGGCCATGAGCCAGACACTCCTTCCCGAGAGCGCTCACGGCCAACTCGCCACCACACTCGCTCTCCATCCTCGGTATTGAAGGTAGGTTGAGCCAGGACCAGACTTTCCCACGGTACGAAGCTCGGAAACTGATCAATTATAGACTATAGCAGATGATTATGCGACTTTAACGCCCGCCGAAACCGCCGCCAGGCTCCAGAGCAGCCTCACCCATGGCTTGCCCACTTCCGAAGCATTCAGACGATTACAAGACCATGGACCAAACGAACTACCTCATGCGCCGCCGGAGCCATTATGGCTTCGCTTCGCCAAACAATTCATGGAGCCCATGATCGTGTTGCTCCTCTGCTCCGCGGGGCTTTCATTACTTGTCGGGAATAAGGATGATGCGCTCAGCATCAGCATTGCAGTGACAATTGTTGTTGCTGTAGCGTTTGTACAAGAATACCGGTCTGAGAAGAGCATCGAGGCATTGAATCATTTGGTTCCCAACCATGCACATCTCATTCGGGCGGAGCAACCACGGCAACCACAAGCTGCCTGGTCGCCCCTGAACGAGGGTGCCCCAAATAACGGATTGGCAACGGATTTGCAGGATGAGACAGCTGTCGAACAGGCGTCCACGAAAGTAATGGCGTCAACTCTTGTGCCAGGGGATCTCGTCTTGTTCACGACTGGCGATCGCATTCCAGCCGATATCAGGGTCACAAAAGCCTCGGATTTAACCATCGACGAGTCTAACCTGACTGGCGAGAACGAACCTGTCCGGGTTATGGCAGATGCGAAACGTCGGGTCCCCTCCAGATCCCCTTCGAGGGCCAACAGCTACGGGTACAATCTACAACCAGCCACACAACCTCACCCAAATGGCCCAGAAATCGCAGATCCCGACACTCAGTCATCTAATCGTACAAACATTGCCTATATGGGGACACTTGTGAGGTCTGGATATGGGCAAGGAATTGTTTATGCGACTGGAGGACAAACTCACTTCGGCGCAATTGCTGCCAGTGTCACTGAGACCGAAAGTCCCCGCACTCCCCTCCAGGTTTCCATGGATGCTTTAGGTGCCCAACTTAGCCAGGCATCCGGCGTGTTCATCGCGTTGATTGCACTTGTTGGCTGGTTCCAGGGAAAGAAGATCCTTGATATCTTTACCATTTCCATATCGCTGGCTGTTGCAGCTATCCCTGAAGGCTTGCCGATCATTGTCACGGTGACATTGGCTCTAGGTGTTCATCGCATGGCTCGCCACAATGCCATTGTTAGAAGACTACCTAGTGTTGAGACCTTGGGTTCTGTCAACGTTGTTTGCAGTGATAAGACAGGTAAGCTTTTGTTCGAATAGCAATTGATTGTGACACAACCTCTTACACGCAATAGGTACTCTGACCATGAATCATATGACTACTACAAAGATGTGGTATTTTGGCGCAAGCAAGATGTTAGATGTAGAGACGGACGATTCCGAGTCCTCGCCAGACTCTGTTGCTTTACGCATTCTTCGCATTGGCAACATAGCAAATAATGCTCGAGTGACAAATCTCCATACGGCCTCGGTCTCGGCATCATCCAGAGCTGTTCTCTCATCTACTCAGAGTAACCACTCGCCTTCAGATATTCTGCGAAGTCGATGGGTTGGCGCACCCACCGATGTTGCCATGATGGACCTTGTGGACCGCTACAAAGAATCCGATATCCGAGATGCACTAGGGCACCGCCTCGGCGAAACTCCATTCAGCTCTGAGAGAAAATGGATGGGCGTCACGCTTCCCGGCGACCGTGGCAGAGATACAAATCCTGGCGACCGAGAAGTCGCCTATATGAAGGGCGCCATCGACAGAGTGCTCAGTCGATGTGATACGTACGTTACAAGTGAAGGTCGAGAAATCGTTTTGGATTCAGCACGAAGACAGGAGGCTTTAGAAGCTGCGGAGAAGCTGGCGGCGGAGGGCCTTCGGGTGTTGGCATTTGCAAGTGGCACAGTTCCGCGATCTGCGAGACTGTCTGCAACGTCTTCACGGAGCAACACACCCATGACCAAGGCCCCATCGGGACCTCATCTGCCTGCAACACATGATGATGATGTGTATAACGGGCTCACTTTTGCAGGTATTGTGGGCATGAGTGACCCCCCGAGGTATGGTGTGACTAAGTCTATAAGCACGCTCATGAAGGGCGGTGTGAGAGTCATTATGATCACAGGTGATGCTGAGGCAACGGCGGTGGCAATCGCAAAGAAGCTAGGAATGCCCGTTGCGGCTCCTAGGCAGCACACTTCGAGCTCCGTCGCTGTTAAGCCTGTCCTGAGGGGCGATGAGATCGATGATATGACTGATGAAGAATTGAAGGGGGCTATTGGCAGCACTTCCATCTTTGCAAGGACAAGTCCAGACCACAAGCTGAAGATTATCCGCGCACTTCAAGCTCGCGGCGATATTGTGGCTATGACCGGTGACGGAGTCAATGATGCACCTGCGCTAAAGAAAGCCGACATTGGAATTTCCATGGGACTACACGGCACGGATGTCGCTAAGGAGGCTGCGGATATGATCCTTACCGACGACGACTTCTCAACCATTCTTCATGCGATTGAGGAAGGAAAGGGCATATTTTCAAATGTTCAAAATTTCCTAACATTTCAACTGAGCACCAGTGCCGCGGCGCTGAGCTTAGTTTTTATCTGCACGTGTTTGGGGTACAGAACACCCCTAAACGCGATGCAGATTCTCTGGATAAGTACGTATTCCCCGACCCTTACATTTATCACAATGCTAACAATGTCTTAGACATCATCATGGATGGTCCACCTGCTCAGTCATTGGGCGTTGAACCTGTCGACGCCGATGTGATGGCTCAACCACCACGCCGTAAAGGCGCGCCAGTCTTGACAAGGACTCTCATCCAGCGCGTCTTGACTTCTGCGTTTATCATCATGGCTGGCACTATGCTAGTCTACACCCACGAGATGCTCGACGGTACCGTTTCGAAGCGCGACACTACCATGACATTTACCTGCTTTGTGCTCTTCGACATGTTCAACGCCCTCTCTTGCCGCTCGGAATCCAAATCGGTCCTGCGCGGTGAGGTTGGCTTGTTCTCGAATACTTTATTTAACTGGGCCGTAAGCCTGTCACTGATCGGCCAATTAATGGTTATATACTTTCCGTGGCTGCAGGAAGTATTCCAGACCGAGGCACTTGGAATCTTCGACTTGATATCGCTGGTAATGGTAACCAGCACTGTATTTTGGGTTGACGAGGGACGAAAGTGGTATAAGGGCCAAAAGAAGAGGGGGATTGGAGGATACAGCCAGCTTGTGTAGCTGGAGTTCTACGATTATAGCATTGGAAGATCTTGTATATAACGTTAGAAAATCGACATACCATTGAATGAATAATGCAATAGAGACATACGTGCGACTATTTATAAAATCTTCACAAGCAAGGAACAAAAGGGGTTTGTTTTACTCCGTACAGGAACTGTTCCTGTCAGCCTAGTGGTTTACCCCTCAGCCTCGTATATAGCCTCGCTTAAGCTTGAATTGACCACGACGTCCCCAACCTGTAGATGAGCTCCGCTCATATCCCCACACAGCTCCAATGTCGCCCCTTATCCTCACCAACGGCGACAGAGATGGCGCAGCCGAATCCCCCTCAGACGCCTCTCTCAAGGCACCCCCGAATCTCTACGAATCCTCCACCGTAGCCGAAATCCGCGCCTCCCTCGCCGCACTCCACACCCGCGACTCCCACATCACCACACAGTTGCGCACGCTGCTCAATTCGCAGGCTGACCTGTCGCGCGAGCTTGGGCGCCTCGATCTCCTCCGCGCTCACATCGGCACTCAGGTTGTCAATTCGCGCAGCATTAGCCATGGGATGCTTGACAGCGCCGCGCGCTCGGCCGCAGGGTTGAGCAGCAAGGTCAAGGCACTAGATCTGGAGAAGACAAGAGTCGAAGAGACACTGGGGGTCGTCGAGCAGGTCGCCGAGCTGAAGGCATGCGTTCAGGGCGTCATGGGCTCCATGGGCGCACCGCAGGATTGGGAGGCGGCGGCGTCGTACCTAGCTCGGGCATCGAAGATTCCGGATCATATTATTACAGGGGCGTTTGCGGCGCGGGTTGTGCCAAGCGTGGAGATCCCGGATCCGCCGGCGGTGACGCTGGAAAATGCGAAGGAGAGTCTGTGTGGGCTCTTTTTGCGGGAGTTTGATAAGGCGGCGAAGGAGGGGGATGGGGGGAAGGTTACGAGGTTCTTTAAGTTGTTTCCGCTTATTGGGAGGGGCGAGAGGGGATTGGATGTTTATGGCACATATGTATGTGGTGGTGTGAGTGAGCGCGCGAGAGCGACGCTGAGGGAGGCTACTGGGAAGCAGATTGATAGGGACCGTGCGGGAGAGGGCAAGGATGGTTTCTTCTATGCGAATGCGTTGACGAAATTGTTTGAGCATATCGCGCAGATTGTTGATGGGCATGGAGGTTTGGTCGAGAGGCATTACGGTGATGGACGCATGGTGAGGGTTGTAGAGAGGCTCCAGCAAGAAGCGGATGTCCAGGGGGGTATCCTGTTGGATACCTGGGGCGATGAGAGGGGCATTGAGAGGCGACTGACGGATGTGAAGAGTTACCCGTTCTCGTTCCTGGTGCAAAGCTTCCTGCCTAGCCACCGTGCGGCTATGGGCACGACACGTACGGCGGGCCTTGGCGTTGGTGGAGATGCAAATCCGAGACGAAGCGAAGACGAGGGTGTGGATATGAAGGAAATTGACGGGATTCTTAATGAGACGGGTATGATGCTTGGGCGATGGTCTCTATACTGCCGCTTCCTGGCAAGCAGAACTAAGGTATTTTCCTCCCTTACCCTTCTACTTCTGCCTATCTCCGGTATTTCAGCCTACTCACAGCCACCAGGAACCTGGCACTTCTGAAAACGCGCCACTGTCCATGCCACCCTTTCTGACCAAGTCCGCCCTCTCCCGGAAAATCTCATCCCGCCTCACCACTCCATTCGACATATTGAGCACTTTCTTCTTTCGCCGCTCCGTCGAGAAGGCATTCCAACTTGATGAGACCCCATCTGGATTATCTCTCAACCCTTCAAGGCCGCTTCAAGGGCAAGCTCCATACATTATCTCCGCTGTCGACGATGTTATGTACATCGTCTCCACTGTCTTGCAGCGCAGCGTCAGCACAGCACAGCGTGACGTCGTTGCGTCCGTTATCCCAACAGTTGGGCGAGTTCTAGGCAGCGACTTCGTAGGAATGGTCCAAAGGAAAATGCGGGACGAATCCTACCCCAAACCAGCTGTACAAGGCGGTCTCCCTCCAGAAGACAAAATCATCGCCTTCATAGTCCTCATCAATTCCCTGGATGTGAGCAACGAGTACATCTCGCGCATCATCGCAATCCAGCTCAAGCCTAGCGAGACAGCCGCCAATGAGGCACCCAAGACCGAAAGCAAGCTCCACGACCTCTTCCCCTTCGACCACGATTCCGTCTTCGTCGAGAACACTCTCCGTAACCTCGAGACTACATTCTCAAGCAAGACAACTGAGCTTCTCAACGAAGCCCTTACCGTTCTCTTCAACAACGTCGTGAAGCCGCGCCTACGCCCCATCATCTCCGATACATTCCGTGACATCGACTACTCCCTTTCCCCTGGTGAGCTCGCCGACGTCGCCCTAGCACACGATCTCGAAGTAGATGACGACGCCTTTCGGCTCATGGTACCCCGCCGCTTCAAAGCAGGATGGGACGCGCTGATGCGCCCGCTCCAGCGCCTGATGACCGATGGCACGTATGCGCAGCTGCTAGAGAGCACTGCGACGCACCTCGGCCGCGCGCTGGGGAAGCGCATAATGACTTATGCGGGCAAGGTGAATGGCGTGGGCGGTGTGAGGATGGAGCGCGATTACGCGGGCGTGGTGTCGTGCGTGGCAAAGGGAGGGAGTTACGCGCTGCGTGATGGGTTTGCGAGGGGCGCGCAGGTGCTGATGGTTGCTAATATGGAGGAGGATGAGTGGGAGGAGGTGCTGGAGGCGGAGAAGGATGGGGATGAGGGGATTACGTGGGTGATTACGCCGGAGGAGAGGGCGAAGGCAAGGGGGATTGTGAGGGTTTAGATGGGGCTAGCCCGCAACATGTGCGTATTTTGGATGTAGATAGAAAAAAGCTAGGGGAAGCTATAAACTGCGCCATCGGGGAAAGTCCTTGGTGATCGAGAGAATGCATTTTTCTTACAGTTACTGTAAACGGTGCCATTATGGCCAGTCACTAGTGAATAGGATCATCTATTTTACTTACAGTCACTATACCAGCACCATTATGGACAGTCACCAGTAATTAATAATATTTATTTTATTTACAGTTACTATAAACAGAGCCATCATGGATGGCCCCTCTCCAGACTTTTAGGCAGCACGAGTATCTCCTTGGTATATTTCGAATTGCAATTAGATTGTCTGTTAATGATTGATTTTCTGTCACAAAATGCTACGTAGGAGCGATTCTTCAAGGGCGCTACACCATGCCAGTGTTCGGCAAGGATCGTATATGACCTGAGCTGATCCGGATACTGATCCGGATATATCCTATCCGCCAGGCCTACAACCTATCCTTGCGATCTAAGGATATATCCGGGTCTTGAGGATATTGCCAAGAGTAGCTAAGAGTAGCTAAGGCTGCACAAATGCCAACGTGTAAATCTATAATACTGGTTCAAATACTATTATTTGTGATGATTGTGGTAAAAATGAGTGACGCGGAGTTATCAGATTTGCCATCAGATCATGAGAGCTATTCTCAAATAGAGGAGCTATCGTTACCATCTCTTCTCCATATAATTCTGTGCAGACCATGCATCCGTTGTTATTGATATCCGGCCTCCTCTCTTAATATGAGAACAGAGCTTAATTTGTAGCTCTCAGTAGTTCTCAGTGTAACATCCGCGCTAATAATGTTATAGTCGTTAGGCTTAAGAATTAGATTAATTCGCGAAATGAATAGCTTTCAACAAGGTGTATCGATAGATTATTTGACACAATAAACTAGAGTAATAACTCTCTAACGTACATGTATAGCGAAAGCGCCAAACAAGCGAAAGCGCCAAAATGATGCGGTGACCAAACCCCCCAACTAAATGTTAAATTCCTCAACAACAAAACATGCCCCATAAAAACGATGAAAGCCAATTAGTGCTAGCTATCCAGGCTATGCAAAGCGACCCAAAGTTACGCCTTCGAGTTGCTGCTAGGATCTATTCTGTGGACCACCGCAAGCTAGGTCGTCGTCTAGAAGGTGTACCTTCACGACGCGATATCCAAGCCAACTCACGGAAATTAACTAACCTAGAGGAGTCCGTCCTTGTTCAGTATATACTCGACCTAGCTGCCAAAGGGTTTCCTCCTCGGCTGTCTGTTGTTGAAGATATGGCAAGTCGACTACTTGCAACACGCGACGCGTCACGCGTTGGGTCGCGTTGGGCTTCAAACTTTGTTAAGCGGCGTGTAGAGCTCCAGACACGCTTTCAGCGCAAATACGACTACCAGAGGGCTAAGTGCGAAGATCCAGAAGTTATTAATGGCTGGTTTGAGCTTGTGCGTAACACAATTGCGAAATATGGTATCGATGAAGCAGATATCTACAACTTTGATGAGACTGGGTTTATGATGGGCGTTATCTCAACTGCTATGGTTGTAACAAGCTCAGACGGGCGGGCAAAAGCAAAGAAGGTACAGCCTGGTAATCGGGAATGGGTTACAGTAATCCAAGGCGTTAGTTCTCAAGGTTGGGCAGTACCACCATTTATCATTGTTGCAGGCAAAAACCACCTTACATCTTGGTATGAGAATAGTGGATTTTCAAGCGATTGGGTGATTTCTGTTACTGAAAATGGCTGGACTACAAACGAGAGAGGCATGGATTGGATTCAGCACTTTGAGAAGCATACAAAGGCCCGGAGTGTTGGTGGTTATCGCTTGTTAGTCCTTGATGGTCATGAGAGCCACCACTCAGATGAGTTTGAGGAGTACTGCAAGGAACACAACATTATTACGCTTTGTATGCCTGCTCACTCTTCTCATCTACTCCAGCCACTTGATGTTGGCTGTTTCGGCCCGTTAAAGCAGGCCTATGGTCGGCAAATTGAAGATATGATGCAGGCTCATATTTCTCATATTACAAAGGATGACTTCTTTCCTGCCTTCCACGCTGCATTTAACACTACAATGACGGAAAGTAACATTTGAGGCGGGTTCCGAGGGGCAGGGCTTCTTCCATTTGACCCTGAGAGAGTGATATCTACACTTGATCTTAAGTTAAGGACACCAACGCCTCCAAGCTCCCGCCCAGGTACTGCTCAACCTTGGGTTTCTCAGACACCAAACAACCCAATTGAAGCTATGTCACAGT